GATTATTCGCTGGCTGCCTCACACGTGGAATTTTTCACTTCCTACTTGCAGTGAAGACACAACTGCTGCAATCGGCTGGAGGAGGCTCACGGCAGAGGTTGCAGCATTTTTTTTGTGTGTTTCTACATGTGAAGCATGGTTAAGTAAGAGGTGTGTGTTTCTGAAAAAGAGCTGGAGACACAAACTGCCCCTGGACACCGGGCTGTCCTCTCAGGAGCAAAACTGTTTTTTTTCGTAAACAGAAGGATCTCAAGAAATCTTTTGAAGGACAATGTGAGTGAGTACTGTTTTGTTACAGGGGAGAGAGGCAGGAATGTGAAGCTCAAACTATCCAAGCGAAGATTTGAATCAAATTCTTGTCATTTTTGTCAGTGGAGTCTTTACCTGTAAGATATAACTGATTCTAAACTAATAGAATCTAAATAAGAACATAGAGATTAACTAATTACTTAGATCTACTGAGAGTAAAAAGTAATGTTACTTTTACAAATACAGATGATCCACTCGAGCTGCTGCCCTTTTCCGACTGGTCAAAGCAGGAAATCTGGACACTCCTGCTGTCCAGTTCCCCAGAGACCTACAAAGCATGTCAGCATCTGCTGCTCAACATTTTAGGTTTCAGGCCTCCATAATGTTTTCCTAACAAGCCTAAATGAACCTTTATGAGATCATTTACAGCTTGGACCTAAGTGAAGATAAATAGATTAGCAAGAGGTCAGGCATACAGGATTAGCATTAAAAGCAGAGTTGATTTTTTGTCTAAAAAAACAAAACACAAAGGCAGGTACATGCAGGTGGATACTTAAGCCCTGAGGTAGCTGCAAACAGCTACTTTAAAGGAAAAAAATCACATGCCTATAAGGCAAAAAATGAGAAATAGGTAGTTATTATTATGTAATGTTTGTACTGAAGAATGCTGTCAACTACAGTGCATGAAAAATGGAAACTGACCTGAGTTGAGTGGTTCTGGATTGAGCACTGTCTCCATCTTTACTTGCAGGATCAGCTTCAGACTTGCCTACATTTTCTCTTACAACCTCTTCCAGTTCTGTGGTCACACATGGATCCTGGCCAACACCATTGCCCGGTTTTTCACATTTGGTCGAGGTATGAGGACTGAGGAGCAAATCGAACAGCTTTTTAAAACGGCCTCCATCTTTTCTGAGTAAAGAGAAAACCCAACTGTGTCGTTGCAGATGCTTTAGCAGACACGTTTTACTCGGTGGGCTTCGTGATGAGTCTGTGCCAGCTCCTGTCCGTCCTGGAGCTCTTCCACATCGCTGATGGGATCGAGAAAGCCAGACTCCTTCCTCGCTTTGTTCAAGTGACCCTCATTCATCATTTAATCATTCATCTGTTTGTTAAGAAGCCGTGCATGACGTGGCTCTCTTTTTATTTTCAGGTGATGGAAAAGAATGTTCTGCTTATGATAGTTATCATGCTGGAGGATATCCAGAGTAAGCCGGTGGTGTGTTTGCAGCTCTTCTTGTGGAATATTCTGGACCTCTTACGGTACGCAGAAAGGCCATGACATTTCTTATATCATTATACAGCATTGGGAAAGGAGTGCAAAGGAAAGATTTTTTTTATGTTTCATTTCAAAATTGATACAAGAATGATACAAGTTATTGCAATTGCGAGAAGCCGTAGGATCTCTGAACTCACCAGTTGATTTCAATAGTGTAGGTTTTTAAAAGACTATGGTCATGAACAAACTTGCCTGGGCCACTTCCAAACTCACCAACAAGGCCCTAACCCTAACCCTAACCCTAACCCTAACCCTAACCCTAAGTACTCGTCATCGAGGGGCAAAGAGATCAAATGAAACCATACTGGAGCTTCCCATGGTGAGATTAGAAGTCCCATGTTGCATTTCGTAGTAGTCAACATCAAGAGCGGCTAATGTTTCAGGAAATTGAAAAACATGTTTTGCTCATTGAAAGACAATTCTGTCTTTTAAGTGCTTGGAGAAAGCAACTCTTCGCAAATGGAACTATAAAATAATCAAATAACATGGGTCATTATCTCAACATGCTGAGAGCTTTAGTGTCTTTTGCTGATTTTTCTCATTAGCATAAGCCAAAGAAAATTATTGGAAATTAAGAAATGAAGGACGGTGCTTGAAGTTAGCAGGATATATCAGAAAATTAAAGATGGAGTTTAACACTCAGTATGTAAATGACCTTAAGCATGCTACTAAAAACAAGACTAGCAAGGTTAAAGAGAAAAAACGTCAGCCATCTTTGATCGACAGTCAAAGCTCAGAGCTCTGCTTTAGAATCTGCTGTGTTTAGACTTAAAGATTTATAAACACTCTGTGCCCATTCAGTGGTTCTGCATTGAAGAATCGGCAAAAAAATACTTTTTAATGTGCAAATCATAGAGACGTGAGCGAGTCCTTTGATGGAAACAGTCATTGTTACCCTTCAGTGGACTTTTTCTCAAGGATGTTGTTTGAGAGGAAAGGATGAACAGGATTAAGCCAGACCGTCCCCTCAATAGTACCACAACACATTTGTAAAGACTTTTGTTATTTCATAGTTGGGCCAGTCGCATTGTTTGGTTACAACAACAAAAAGGTCATAGTTTTGGCCTAAATACACCCTTTGTACAACCAGATTGTAAGACTTTTGTGTTGTTCTTCCCTGTTAAGGTTGACCCACAAACTCAAATTTGGTTCCAATTGGCAGATAATTTAAGAATGAGGAAAATTTAAAAGTACAACAAGCTTGTAAGATTAAACAATTCTTTGTAAGGAGCGACGGGGTCTGAAACGTCTCCATGCAGCTTACATTTAAATGATTATTCCTCTGGTCAAAACAGTAAGATAGGGAGAAAAAATAGCCAGAGGATGAAGAAAAATGTTACAAAAAGTTCAATTCCATGTTCTTAATTTCCTTGAAAAAAGAATAGATCCAACAAAAGACTGGATAAGAAAAATTCCCCAACATTTCACGGTGTTTGGTGTTCTAACAGGTACCCTCATGAGCTGCTGTGTGTTCTGGACACGCCCTCCACCACCATGCTGTGGGTCCGCTACTCCCTTTGGATCCCTTTCTACGTCCTGTCAGCCACCACTGAGGGTAGGCCTGCACGATTACTGCCATCATTTTGTGAGTCAGGAATTCCTAGCCTGAGCGGTGCTTTGTGGGGGTACTGAGGAAATGAGCTGACACAGAACATGACATAGTAACAACTCAGGAAGTGTGAAAACACTTTCCAACTGAGTGTGTGCTGACCACTGTGAGCAACACACACGCCTTATTCTCTACAAAGAAAATAAATAAATTGACCCGTTCAAAACATTACTACAACTGCTTTGAATGCTAACACTGTGAAGTGTGAAGTAACTTGCTCCGTTTTAGCTGTGTTTCTCGTTCTGTTTCAGTTTTTACCATTTACCAGGCCCTACCTTACATCAGAGCTACAATGTCCCACCCCATGGACGTCCACCTGCCCTTGGCCCTGGTGCTCTACCTGTCCGCTCTGGCTCTGGGTAAGGGAAAGAAAAGACCGGACTGGTCAAACAGGATTAAAATAATTGGATGTCACAGAGTAGGAATCAGGTTACAGGGGTGTTTCTTGTGGTCAATTCTTGGTAAAAGTTGATTGGAAAGTGTTCCGGTGTGTAGCTGCCCGCTCATCACAGAGATTATGTCTGTCATCATTTGAAAATAAAGTAAAAATCTCACCATTTTTTAAATATTTCTTGGCCTTAGCCCCTCATCCCGACACACATTTTTAATCCTGTTAAAAGAGGAGTCCCGGGCTTTATCTCATTTTCCAATTTGTACAGACTCACTTCCTCCCCTCAACTTCCCCCGGCCTCCATCCCTGCCCCCCCCCACCCGAGGAGAAATAGACAGGCGGGACAGGCTGTCCACAAGATAAGACAGAGCCATGTTTAACCGTTTCTTAATTCCATTTCAGCGCCTAACTCGATATTTCCGTTATACATGTCACACTTTTACTGCTACTTTAGTAGCATGCCACACAGTGTTTACACGCTGTGGTTGCCAAAAAGGCTTTTGGACACCAGGCTGCATGCTCCTCAGGGCTTCTCCAGAAATTTGCTTCTCAGCAATCCCATAAAGCCCCAAAGAGTGAGGAGTAAGAGGGACAAGTTGACTGGCTGTTTGTGTGTGCGTCTACGCTACAAAATACATAACACACACACAACTTAAGTCATGTGTGAGTGACCCAGGGTTGGCGGAGTTTTTGGCCATATTATTTATTCATATTCATTCATTCATTCTTTAATAGTTTAAGACAGGTATGTCTTCCATCAGTTCTCTTTAAAAGACTGTACACTCATTACCGTGAGTCAAGATATAGTCAAGAGATTTCTCAAAAGATACAATATTGGACAGACCCTCTGAGTAGAGCATCCTGGATGTCCCAGAGTGTCAGTTTCACCATTGTGGACACTTTTGTGGTTTAATTATGGTCGATGTTCTACAGTAAACGACCCAGAGTATTTAGAAGGGAAAGCTTGGATAAGCAGGCATCCAGTGTTTGGATGAATATCGGCACAAAACATTATCTGCTCAAAGAGATTTCAAATGAGCAGACAACCACTTTCTAAGAGTAGAAGTGTTTTTTTTCAGGGGCCTCAGTGACAGTCTGGCAGCTGCTGAAGGAGAGAAAACACCTACTGGACAAACGGAGCAAGAAGAAGAAGATAAAATAACAGGAATGGCCAAAGAATGAACTGTGAGCAGTTTGAGTCTTTCAGGAATGCAAACTATAATAAGATAATGTAACGATGTGTTGCAATTAGGAGCATTTTGAAGGAAAAAAAAACACACAAAATCAACTTTGTTACAAAAGCATTAGAAGTATCACCTTTAATGACAGATCAGACTTCTTATCAATACTTTTACTGACCAAATATGAGATACAGAGACTGTCCAGAAGCCCCCACTTCACTGTGTCCAACCAGCCGGGCCAGAAAGGACCCTCAGTGTGCGTCGCCATGGCGACAGCACATTGTCCTTCCTCTACCAGCCATAAGCCCTGGTCCACACGGCTTTCTTCCTGAACTCAGCGGAGGACTTCAGAGCCAGGAGAGCAGCTGAAAGGACAGCAGACCGGTCAGCAGCTGGACCTCTGGAGCCTGTCCTTGAGGTTTATTTAATAGAAAAGTATTTACTCAGCAAAAAATGACACCTGCGGATCAACGTTCTAAACGTTAAATTAAAGGTTCATAATGGATGTGCACCTTTCTACCCGTGTGAATGCCAACTAAGTACTTTGTACTTTTTTTTCTTCTTTTTGTGTTTTATTGGAATCATAACATTGTGTCTTCCTGAGAAAGGCTCCATGGAAAAACCTTGGATTGTAACTGTAGAGAAAAGGGCTCGCAACAACTGACTATCTGAAGAAATCTTGAAATAATAACTGAATGGTGCAGATTTCACACAATTCAAAGTCCCCATGTGGCAGTTTTTTTATGTAATCTATCCACCCATTGTCTAAACTGCTTATTCTGAGTAGGATCACAAAAGACCTGGAGCCTATTCCAGCTGGGCCAGTCCATGGATATGTTATTAGATCATGCTAAAAAAAACAAATCTATAATGCCTCTAGGACTATGCTGGAAAAAAGGAAAATATTTGTTCTACTTAAAGTTGCATTGTAGAACAACAACTATTATCTTTAAAAAAAATTTAAATAATTTCCCGTGGCTTTATAACTGCTTTGCAAAACCTTTTTTTCATTACTTTGGTATTAATCATTAACAACTGTTTATTCTTGTATTCATGACACTGATCGGATTTTTTTGGCTTGTTTATGTGTATCCTTGTAAGCTGCTTTGGATAAAAGAACACTCTAATGGCATAAACAGAAAATGTAAATGCGAATTTAAGCTTGTTGCAACCTCCAATTTGACCACAAGATGTCAGGAACTCCTGCACGCTGATGTCTGTGAGTGAGTGTTGTGTTACCTTTGGCTGTGTTGATGGTGGAGGCTGACAGATTCTGCTCAGGACCTTCTGTCACGCTGAGGAGCCAGTCAATAAACTAAAACACAACACACAGTTAGCACATGAGACCCAAAACCCATCTCACATACAGTGGGGGAAATAAGAATGCTTATTTTTCCTAATCAGATGGTTATCAATTTTTATAAATTCATATGATATGATTTTCAGGAATTTTCTTTGGGATTCTGTCTTTCACTGTTAGAATGTACATATGATTAAAGTTATAGATCGTTGCATTCTTTGTAAGTAGGCAAACCTGCAAAATCAGCAAGGGGTCAAATACTTATTTCCCCCACTGTATGTGGAATTATGCAAAAAAATAAGAGCTCTGCAGGCGGATGTTCGGTAGGAACCCTAACCTTGTGAGTCTGGGCGCTCCAGGGCTCTTTACCCAGCAGCAGGGGTAGGCTGTGGGACACGGCCAGCATGCACCGGGGCAGGGCCCCGTCCGGGAGCGACTCCTCAAAGTACAAACTGTGTGTTAATGACGCGGGCTTGGAGTCGGGCTCCCATGGAAACCACTGGGCCCTGAGGCCAAAGAGGAGGGGCATGGAGCGGTCACCCCAGGAAACTACAGCCGCTGCAAAAAGCTGGAACAGGAAGTCTGTGGCCTGCAGACAAAAGAGCAAATCGAACTTCAGTTTTTTTATATCATATCTATTATCCTAACAGTGCAGATCAAACAGGCATCAGCACATCAGACAGTCACTCAAGTAATGGCTGTTTCAAATCTAAATCCCTTAAATCCTGGTGCACATGCAGGCCCAAGCTGCTTTTACTTAAATTTACTTAATTTAGCTTAAGCAACAACCACCAGCTGTACATGAAGCTTCAGTTGTACATCCAACACTCACGTTAAGCCCAGTTCAACTGTCGGTTTAGTTGTTTGGTTACGGCTCACTAAACTATCAATCTTCAAGAATGAACCGATAAATGGTTAACTACTAAATTAGAGCACAGACTAATAATGAAAGATAACTTGTGGATCCTAAAATCTAAAACAAGAAACTACATGTCAATTGTCTACTAACAATCTTTAAAACTGGAAACTAGGAGAGCATAAAACATTTGCCTTAGTAGGAGTTCAAACATATATTATCAAAATGGCTCTGAATCTCCAATTATGCTACAGCATCTCCCCAAGTTACTCTGATGATGATGATGATGATGATGATGATGATATAGTAAACCACTGTCACACTGTTTGTGTTACTGTTACAGGACAATCCTCAAAGAAGTAAATGTAGACAGTTAAGCAGAATTATCTCATGGAAATGCAATTCCAGAATGAAAAAGATCAAATCTTTGTGACCTGACAACTGGATTAGAACATCCAAAAACCTCTTGGAATCAAGACTAAACCAGCTCACATATAAGTGAACACGGGATATTATTATGTTCCCTGTTACTCCTTCTGATTCACAAGGAAAGCTGTAACAAACTCAACAAAACATTTTCCTGGAACAATCCGGTGTACTACTGTAATCATGCAGTGTGTTTTCTGAAATACAGATCCTAAATCTTCCTGAGCTCTTCAACTGGCCAACCCTCCTGCTTTATCAACTGTCTAGCTGGATCAGGACCCAAATAAAAACAGGATGTTTTATGTTTTTTTTTACACAAACAATCTAATAGCTGAAAGCTGCACATTTGGAATATTCTAAATTGATCAAATCTGTTGTATTTGAATGATTTTGCTGGAACACTCTCAGTTCTTGACACATTGGTTTATTTAGCTTCTCCATGCCTTACATTTACATTCCCTACTTCACATGCATGGGCCATTATTACACCTTCAGCTGGCCAGTTTACTTAAAACAGGAGTGTTCACACAGTCATACGTTGAGTCTAGTGGCAACAAAACTGATTTTGGGGGGGGGGATTGTAGCATGGCTCAGAAACATACCAGCCTGGTGTCTCCACAGTCCACGGGGGTCGCTCCGTAGGCAACGTTCCGGATGTGTCCCATCAGCTCCAGGAGCCACTCCATCTGTTTAGAGACACCTGGAGAACACACACACACACACACACATCGTCTGTAATGACATTTAAAGATGATTCTTTAATACTGCATTAAAAAGGAACAAAACAAAATGGCTAGTTGTTTTTTTTTAAAGACTGAAGTCAGTGGCTTCATTTTCTTGCGCAGCTTAGGAGCCCATAGGAGGAATCCTGAAAGCCTTTTCAGTGGTTTCTGGGTTGACCTGTGTTGGGGCCGGCAGCCAGACCGGACTGGTAAAAGGTCAGCAGGAGGAGCCAGCCTACTCTGCGGCTGGGCCAGCCACGCAGCACCCCCGCGATGACATCATTGAGACTCAGAAGGGGGAGCCTGCCCTGAGAGGTGAGGTAGGACAGGAGGAAGCAGGTCTTTTCCATCTGAGCCTAAACGGGACACAGATAAATGAATCTGACGTTAAATACAGGGAGATCACCTCACATTGGAATAGAAACACAAAATCCCTGTAAAATACAGCATGTATTGTACAGAGATTTGTCTGAGCTCAGGTGTACCTCTGAAACCTGAACGATCCTGTCGATTTCTGTGTCCGACATCTCAGACAGACACTTGGCGACGCCCACATACAGATCCACCTCTGCATCCTGAAACAAACACGCCTTGGATGAGCTGGAGACCATAACTTAGACCACATGTCGCTGATAAAATGCTGATGAAATGTCAGGCTGAGCTCTAGTTTAGGGGGGAGGCGGGCTGTACTAGAGGATGACACGGGAGTGGATTTTCACTCCTGTCCCGTCCCACTCCCAGACCAAAGTTTAAAAAATAATCCCATCCCATCCCGCTCCTGGTAAATTGACTCCCGCTCCCATCCCGCTCCTGTTTAAACTGACTCCCGCTCCTGTACCGCTCCCATATATTTTTTTTCTTCAATTAGTGTTTAGTCTTACAAGCAGCGTACATCGTGCTAGCACCATCACATTCTACTCTCATAAACTATTATAATATTTCAGACTGTGAACTTAATAGACATGTCATTACTTCTGACTTTGCGCTGTAAATCATTTTTTGCCACATCGACTTCTCCGCGGCTGTTAGCTCCCTCCATCACTGCTCTTTGAATTCCGGCGGTAAGCCTTGACAAAAAGCCCTGATGGCTTCTGGGACGGCTGGGTCATGTAGTTATTTTTTAATTGCGTTACATTGTAGGCATAAAGGAAACTACAAAATGGTGCATTTACTTTTTTTTTTTTCCGTCTTTGCTATTGGTTGATTCCCGCTCCCGTCTGCTCCCGTTAACCATTTATCCCGTACCGCCCAAATCCCGTGATTAATAGCAAAGATGACTCCCATCCCGCAGGAATCCCGCGGGAATCCCGTGACCCGTGGGATTCCCGAAAAAATGTCAGCCTCTAGGCCAGTGTTTTTCAACCTTTTTTGAGCCAAGGTACAGTTTTTCATTGAAAAAATCTCTAGGCACACCACCAACCAAAAATGTCAAACAACTCTGTATCCGCCTATAGTAACACTATAGTTATTATTATCTTCTTAAGTGTCTTGAATAGGAATCAAATAAACACAAAAATGTATTTTATATCATATTTTATATTTCTTCTTTCAAATTGCTCTTAACATGTCCACTTCAATATACAAAATTAAACACAAAATCTAGTCATAAGGAATTATTACATGATTACTCCACCAGTCACTAGAACAGCACAGACACTCAAAAATGGCATATTATTTGCAGAAAATTATCAAAATTTTGGTGAAATAGGATGATTTTCTACGGCACACCTGGCCATCACTCACGGCACACTAGTGTAGCGAGGCACGGTGGCTGAAAAACACTGCCCTAGGCTGTACCTGGAGGCTGTCGGGCAGCAGGGCGTAGATCTTCTCCGTGGTGGAGCAGAGGATGGTCCAGCAGCTGCTGGGGGGGTTTGGCAGGGCCATGGCCTGAGCCAGGCCCTGCAGCAGGGCGCGGCACAGAGCCGGCCGCTGGGGCCGCGGGTCCTGCTGGAAGTGCTGCAGGCCCAGGCTCTCCACGCACACCTGCAGCTTATCCTCGGACACGTGCCTCATCCATGAGCCCAGGCTCTCGTAGAGGTGGGCTCGGGTCCGGGGCTGTGGTGTAGGAAGGGAGGATTCAGTTATTTCCACACATTTTTTCTACGTTCAGGCTGCAGGAGTTCAGCTGTGGTGCGCCGTGTGGAAACATAGCTGTGAGCCAGGACATTTCTAGCATTCCTGAAATGCCTTTATAATTTTGACACTATTTTTCCACATTTGGTTACAGCCCTTTTTCTAAAATGGATGAAATACATCTTTGCCCCCAAAAGTCTACACACAAAGGTATCTTTGAGTTCTTGGAAAAGGCCATAGAGAGGATACGGTCTACTACCTCTTTTTTTTCTTGTGCCACATCTGGGTCAGGATTTCTTTTTTCCATTTAAAAACTTTAAATAAAGGGCAAATATAAATGTACAGTTATACACGTGTGCTGGTTGTGAAATGCAAAGTCTTAACTTGTAGAAACCATTTAACTATTGAACCATTTAAATATTTTTGATGGCACGAACTGTTGTGCAGTCTGACAGACAAGTTACACAAGATGCTCAGGATGTTTTTGAAAAGAAAACTTTTCCTCTCTGGAGCTCTCCAGAAGGACAACCACATTAGCAGCATTCCACAGATCTGTATGGCAGACAGAAGCTGCCCCTTTAGAAAAAAAACATGGCATCCCGCATGGAGTTTTTCCCAAAAGTCAGCAGAAGGACTCTAGGAACATGAAATAAAATTCTCTGGTCTTATGAGACTGAAATGGACCAATTTGGCATGAATGTCGGGGTGTCATGTTGGAGAGAGCCCAGACTTAAATCTGAGTGGTGCAAGGATAATCATCTCCTCACTGTCACCAAAACCAAAGAACTGGTTTTTGATAACTGTAAAAAAAAAACTGCCCAAAGATAGGGTGCATCAAGCTTGTGGCATCATAATTAAGATGATTGGGGCTTTACTAGCTGCAAAAGTTGCATGAGCAAAGCCTGTGAATACTTATGTCTGTGTAATTTCCTTTTATCTAAAATAGATCTTTATAAAATCTATTCATTTCTTTGTGTTGTCATTATAGGGTTTTGTGTGTAGAGGTTTGAAGAAATAAATCAGTTTATTCATCTTCTGGAATAAGGTTAAAACTAAAGTGCTGTGAATACTTTCCAGATGCACTGCGTACCTCAATCTGAATAACCAGTAATGAACTCTGTTGTTAAGGAGTTTTTTTTTTTTAAAGGAGCTTACACTGACACTGTGTACAAGGGGGGGTGACACCCAGGAGCCCAGGAAGAGAGAGGCGTTTTTGGAAGACTGAGCTTGAGATGCTGCCAGCACCATACACTGATGCTGGACATCCTCTCCTGTCAGACATTACAAGGGGGGGGGGCACAGAAAAACCTACAATTTAGCAGTATTAACAGTGTTTTACAGCATTTGTCCTTTCTTGCAATGTGGGATTGCTCTTACCGAAGCTCAGCCTCATCAGAGGAGACAACACAGCGCTCCAGTTCAGGGGGGGGGTACTGGAAACCGCCTCCAACCGATGCCAAGGAGGCCAGAGCTGTTTTAACCACGGCTGGATGGGAAAACTCTGGACCTGGGTCCGTGGGGAAATAAGATTTTCTGTAGTGCTTTGCCGTTTGTAAGATGAAGCTGCAGTTCTGTGGAGTTGGATGGATTGGTTTTCATATGCACAAACCTTTCTTTCCAGCCTCTATGAGAAAGTCTGTGATGGACCTGATGACACTTTTCTCTGAGAGGTAACTGAAATCCTGAGGAACTGAGGAGATAGCAAGAAGAAAAAAGTGTGTAAATATTTCACTGTGGTTTACAAGCAGACTTCAGCCATCGTGTGAGGTGAATCTAAAAGAACTGAGATGACTTATACAAATAACTACAAGAAACATAGCTTTTTCTCAGGTCACTGTTGGAGGATAACCAATATTTGCACACATTGTTGCGAAAGTGCTATCCATCATTAATCAGCTTAATCCTAATTTCCAGAGTGTGTGCACACACACCTGCTGTATGACTGTGACTTGTGGACATGTGCGCCAAATACAAATGGCCCATCAAACAGGCACTGTTGGACTGCAAACCAATGGCCCCAGAATAGGTTACTATCTGCAACAGAAAGCATAAACACCGTTATCACGCTCTGGCTTATATGAAAGCAAAGTTAGCGATTAACAGCAACCAAAGAACAGTCCCCCGGTTTAGGACAATGAGAAGGGAGGAGCTTAACTCTTACCTGTGTGATGGCACGAATAACCTCGTTCAGTCTGCTCTGCTGCTGGGTGGAGAGCTCCAGCTCGCTCTTCAGCTGCCAAACACAGAAAAGGTTTAGGGCCTGATTTCTCTATTTTATAAAAAACAAAAACAGAACATTGCACTAACAGGAACAGCTACAGGAACCCAAACTGAGACATTCATTGTTTTTGTCACAGAGGGGATGAATACTCTCATTACTCTTACAACGAAACTATTTCTTGCTAACAGCAGAGCACAGACAGATAACGGATTATTAAATACACCTGCAGCCCCCCGTGAGCCAATCCAAGCTGATCCAAGGACTAAAGATCCAGAAACACTACCCATATACCTCACACACTGTGAGCAAAGCTTTTACCTGAACGAGGTAACTCTCTGATCCCACCAGAGCCACCAGCCCATTGGCAGCAGCCAGCCGCTGCATGGTGGGACAGCCCTGAAACAGAAACAGCCCGTCTGCTCACTGTGGGACTCCGAACAAGTAGAAACACAGCAAACCACATGCCGACGGGACCGAGATGATTGCAGGATAAAAAAACAAAGAAAACAACGTGTTGTGGTACCTCGGCCAGCAGGATCTTGATCCAAGCGGCCAGCAGGCGAGGGTGGATGTCCTCGGCTTTACCGTGGCCACTCACCGACAGGCCGTGGATGACCAGGCCCAGAGCCAGAGAGAAGCCCGGGGTCTGGGGACAGCGGGGACACGTCAGAGTGACGACTTTTCAAAATGAACCCTAACATGGAGCTTCAGTAATGTGCCAATTGCACTTGAGCTGGAGGTTTAGAAGTTTTTAGGCAAGAAAAATACTTAATTTGATGAGCAGAAATAAGGTGACACTATGATGGAGAATTTCTCATTTAAAAAGAGAAATTGTGGCTGGAGGAACTGGTAAGGCTCTGTCATTTGGAAAGAGTACGGTTCTCATTAGCAAATAACTTAAAGCGATTCAACAGAACGTGGCAACCCCTTCAGCAATATATTAATAACCCTATTTGAAGAGTATTTGTTTTGGTTATCGGTGTGATCAGATGTAAGTCCCAGGAAAAGGGGAGGAGGGTGGGTTGGGGGAGGTGATTGGGTCTTGAGAATGTCCTTATTTATGTCACTTTTGTTTTGTTTTAATTTTGTATTGTCTTTATGTTTTATGTTCACATACAATAAAAAAAAAGAGAACAAAGATGTATTGTTGAGGTTGTAATTCTCATGTCTGATTTCTCAATAAATCAGTTTGACAATAAAAAAGAGAAAAACAACTTGGTTTTTACAAAGCTAGGTCAGGCAGCTAGAAAGAGAACGTCCTTTATAGAAAGTAAGATGAATTAGTGGTGACTAACTCCCCCTGACCTGCTGGCTCTCCTCCGTCAGCGTGCGCACACTGTTCATGAGCTCTTCAGCCTTGTCGGCGTCAATAAGACCTCCACTGAAGGCGGAGACGCCCACACATGCCACGGAGTAGGACAAAACCTGAAGAGGTAGAGACAAAGAAAGCTGTTGACGCATCACAAAATGTCAGGGCATGGGAGACCTTCTGTTGGAGTTTGGCTTCTCTTAAAGGCCCCTCGGAAAATTGTTCTTCCAATAGAGTCAGGACTCCATTAAGAATACAAAATGCAACATTTTGAGGGTTGATAAACAAAACAGGTGCCACACTGGTAAGATATTTTAAAAGATGTTAAAAAATACACATTATTAGTAGGCAAAAAAATAAGACATACAATAATAAAAGCATTTTGATGACCACATTGACTTGAACAAGTCAAGACTAAAGACAGTAAAACAGATGAGTGAAAGGAGTTAAACCAGTTTCAGACTGACATTGAAACAATTAAAACCAATACAAATATATCAAGAAACAATAACTAATCACACCATCAATCACATAATTTACATTGTATTTATTTACCGATGACTTCCTGGAGGCAGGAGTTGTGGCTATACGAACATTGTTTTCTAATTGGGACTTCATGCTAGAACTTTCCTGCAGTGTCAGTGAGCTTAATTAAGATTATGCTGACAGCTCTAGGACCAGATTTAAGGGAGGCATTAAAGGTGTGTATTGGAATCGGTGGATCGATAATTGAGGCAAATCTCAGAGCAGCTGCTGATAATGATCTGAAATTCAGGAGCACAGAAAGATTAAGAAAGCTTAACCCTGGCTGTGTGCCTGCTAACTAATGCAGCGTTAGTAAAAAATAGAGGAGTTTATGAAGACTGCACAACCTACTTGGCTTTTGCAGCTTTCGCAGTATGTTAAATCATTGAAATGGCTTTGTTACTGAGGCTTTAAAGCCTTACAGGTCAACAAAAGTAGACTCGCTGCTCATGATCTTTCGTGCTGGGCTGCTGTACCTCTTGCAGCATGCGTCCTTGCCCGCTGCTGTCCTGCAGGCTGGCCAGTAGTTTGTCGAGGGTTTGGGTCACTCGGCTTCGGTCCATCTGTCCACTTGTGCAAAGTGACGAGAGCACCAGACCCAGACCCAACATGCAGCCAGTGCTGGGGAAAAGTAGAGAACCTTATCTTATTGGCCATCTCATGGAGAAATCAAATCCAAAAGAAATCAGATTCCCTCAATTCTTAATTAACAAGTTTATATTTATATTCAGTTCCACAATGAAAGAAGTAATTCATACAGGTTTTGAGATACTGTACAGTACAGATTACTGACTTGTATTCCAAGTTAGGGTTGAATGAGCAATTTTCCAGAGCTTCAAGAGAGCTGATGAGCAGCTCAGAGTCATGAGCAGAGACGTCACTGAGAAACAAACAGACAGATGGACAATCAGTGTCGATTCCCGGACGGTTTTAATTTCCCTCATTTCCCTTTTTCTTATATGGTACCATGATCTCACGGTCTTTAAACAGGAAAAGAAACATCTTAATAGTCTCATTTTCAGATCAGTCTCTGACGGAGGGTCTTGTTGCTGACCTGAGGCGTTGCTGGTGCAGACTGGACAGCACCATGCCCAGCGCCAGGCCCGAGTGGAACTGGACGGCCTGCGAGTCGTCGGCGGTGGCCGAGCCGGGCAGGCCGGCCCGCAGCGCGGTCAGCACCTGGACCAGCCCGTCCCTCCGCCACACCACCAGCACGGGCACCAGCAGGGCCAGGGCCAGGCCGGCGCAGGAGCGGGCGATGGCGCTGGCCGTGTTCTCGCCGGAGTACGAGCGCTGCGGGGGAGAAAAGTGTTACCTGGACCTGCTGACCGTCACAGGCCGAACGGGCTGCTGACCAATTCTGTCCTGCTGAGACCTAGCTCACTGAATAATTGGAAACAACATGCCTACAAGGACCAATGCCCACAAGATGAACTGTCTAAACTTACTGGATGTTTCTTTTCAGTAAAATCCATCAGTTCAGCCAGCACAATATTCTACCAAAGGTCAAAGGTTTGGACAGATCCTCTCATTCAAAAATGTTTGAAAAGTGTGTCCTAATGGTTGACTGGGAAGCAAAAACTTTAGATGGAATTGATAGCTTTTGAAATGAAATATAGTTAGCATACATGGGCAGAGTTTGAATGGAAACATGCTGAAACCTTAATTAAATTCCTTTTTCCTGCTACCTATGGATGTCACAGGCAGGTATTTGACACACTCAAAAGTAACCATTTAACCAGGGAACCTCAAATCCTAAAAGTCAAACCATATTGTGAATAATTCAGAACGTGAGACCTATTTTCTTCACAGCAGATGCAAATAAAGATGATTAACTCATTGACTGGCAGCCATTTTCAGAACAGAATCCCATACTGCCAGAGTTTTTTGACCATTTTGACTGATTTTTCAAGAGCCACAGAATAGTTTGTGCTATGACTATGTAAACCCCGAACACACCAAAAGAAAGAGTAGACTCTTTTCTTTCATCAGGAAAATATTTTTGTTTCTACCTTATTCCGTTCTTCCTGGACTTGCGTCTCACCGGCGACATGTTCTCTCATAGCGAACCGTTAGCTTTTTCTTATTTGCCTACAATCTATGCTCATCTCTCATCAAAAGTGGCACTGCCCCCTAGAGGGTCAATTTGTTACTACATACTCTGTCTAGAAGCCGATATTTACGGACAAGCTTTAGCAGAACGTCCCCCAGACACTCTCGTTGAAAAACATAAAAGACGTCTATAGACTACTTTGGCAGTCAACGGTTGTATTTGAATTGACGTCTATAGACGTCTTTGGCAGCCAATGAGTTAAAAGTCTCAACTCCCACCCAATGTAAATGTTGGTTATCATTTCCCATGATGCTGTGCGTACTTCAGGTAGTATTGCTGCCTAAATAAGGTGTGACAGAGTCAGTCAGAATGCTCAGAGGAAACTTACGTGTGGGAACCAGGGAAACACCTGTCCTTTGGCCTTGTAGCTGCTGCTGATGATGCTGAGCAAAGTGTCAAACACCATGCCCAACCAGCTGGCCGTGGGCACAAACTCTGGTCCAGCCTGCAAAGACAGAGCCACATTCTCAAAGCTTTTCATGGGTAATCACAGCATGCAGAGGGGATTCAGGTTTAACTCATGGGTCAGGTCTCACCCTGGTCACAAACTTTTGGAAACCCTCCCCTTTGGCAGAAGGTTGAGAACCATCAGGACCAAAACCTCACGCCATAAAGAAAGTTTTTATCCAGCAGCAACTGGCCTCATCAACGAGGCCAGTGGCCCCCACCTATTCTTCTCTCACCCCCCTCTACCCCACTAATTTACCCAATACTACGTTCAACTTTTTCTGGTTTGTCGTTGGACATTCAATATCTTATTTTATTATTTATTATTATTATTATTATTTATTTTATTTTATTCTATATTTTTATATTTTTATTTCTACATTGTATGTCGTTTCTTGTTCTCATAGAAGTGTTGTGCACCTAACACCAAATCAAATTCCTTGTAGGTGAAAAACCTACTTGGCAATAAACCTAATTCTTATTCTGATTCTGATTCTGATATTCATTATATTAGAACTAAATATTTATAAATCTATCTAACACATACACATCCATATATGTATATGGATGTACATTGCCGTATAGTTAAAGCGTCTTACTCCGAGGCTCCCGCTGCTATCGGTCGGCAGGTTGCTCTCGTACTTAGCCAGGACAGCAGCCAGGCCACTCAGAGCCAGGATGGAGTTCCCCTGGACAACAGGACTTTCTCTAAGGACCAGAAAAACCACGCAGGAATGAGACCATTTAGAATTCTTCTGCTCCAGCTGTGCACCGGTTCGTGCATTACACAGTCCTTCACGATTACTGTGGAACTACACAACCCTCATTATGAGCAATGGACTCACTTTGTAGCAGCTTTGATAACATCTGTCAGCTGATCTCTGGCCCTGAGATGGACAGCAAGACAAAGAAGACAAAAACAAGCCTTTCATGTCAGAGGAGAGCATTGATCACCTGCTTACACAGCAGATGTGTGCTAATAAGCAAAACATAACCACCTAAACCAAGTTATGGTGGGGTTGTACACAATGATAAACTTTTTTTCATATTTTGTTGCTAAAGTTTCTTTTGTTAAGTTGTATAAACAGAAAGGAATAGACTACACGTCCAGTTATGAGGCCACAGATAGCTTAATCAATAGTTGTTCTTGTCCAGATGTGAGCTTCTCACCACAGCCAGGCACAGTGCTGCTGGTACTGCACCTCCTGAGGGTTCTCTTTGCCTTGTTTCTGCTGCATTTCCAAGTCGGCGCGTCGACCCTGAAGACAAACGGGTGTAAACATTTCAGCATCTTGCTAAAAGACGCAGACACAACACAAAATAAGCGGTTTCCGTTTGGCTGCGGTATTGCGATACAGATCTTCAGTTTGCCTGAAAAGGTCCCACTGGCTATGACAGAAGCCATAAAAGAAGCCAGAGCAAAAACTAAGTCCTCAGTACATGTTCCCGATTTGTCGGCTGCATCTGACCCAGTCAGTTATGACTTCCTTCTGTCTGGACTCTCAGCATGGCCATCACAGGGAGAGCACACCTGGTTTGAATCCTACCTCACTGCTCCATCATTCAAAGTATCCTGGCTCGGTCATACTGCTGCCCACCACCCGGTCACAGGGGTCCCACAGGGTGGAGTTCTGGGACCTCGTCTCTTTGCCATTCACACCACCTCACTGGGCCAGGCCACATGGCTTCTCGTACCACTGCTATGCTAACGAATCCCAGCTCAATTTGTCATTCCACCTGACGACCACACGGTCTCAGCTCTTATCTCAGACTGACACATGAAAATGGATGAAAGCCCATCACCTCCAACTGAGTCCATCAAAAACCGGACTGCTTTTCTGTCCAGCCAACCCAACCATAAACCTCAGGGTTCACATCCAAACTAAATCTCTGTCTCTATCTCCATCAAAGGCGGTCAGAAACTTGGGTGCCATGACTGATGACCAGCTGACCTTTAAAGATGAAAGGCTCATCTCCTCAGCAGGATGATAACGACATATTAATATGAATCAGGTGTGCTGGAACTGGGAAACGTGGAAAACCTGCGGGACTGTGGGCCCTGAGGACCAGGGCGGGGAAACCCCGGTCTAGCAGTGCCTACACCACGCTTAAGACGATCCAGACTCTTTTCAGATGACGCTCCCTGATGATGGAATGACCTGCCAAGCGCTACGAGATCAGGGGCGTCCCTAAATCTTCAGGAAACTCATGAAGACCGAACTCCTCAAAGAGCATCTCCTCCCCTAACCCTAACCCTGTACCCCCCCACCCATCTACCACTCTTTCTGTACTTCCCTCTATATCTACACTGTCCCCATGTGGCCTCTAGCAGACTCTGACCAGTGATTTCCTTTCCATGTAGCTTATTGTCAGGTTGATGCTGACTGTAATGTTGAGTCTGCATTCTAAGTTGTTTAGAAAAAAAGCGTCTGCTAAACGCAGAAACGTAAACTAATACATTACATTTTTGCTTTTTAAAAAACGTGAGTACTTTAAAGTAGAAGCAATAAGACACATTAATGGCTGAGTTTGTTGATCATATGTATTTAAAAACTTTTAAAAAATATATATATAAATATAATGAAAACATTTGCTGAGCAGCAGAAAAAAAGATTTAAAAGGGGCAATTTAACTCCGAAATTAGCTATTTTAATGGGATTTTGACCTAACAAAGTAAAGGGAATGTATAGTGCTTGACTAAAATGCTATAATAACACTATAACAATAAGAATATTATCATGTGACCGAAAAAGTCAAGTTTGAAGGTTGAAGCGGGTCCAAACATTTGGTTGATGCTTCCAGTGAGAAATAGTTCAGTTGTGTTTTTTCGTTAAGTTTTTGAATTTTTGAATAAAACACAAACCTGCAGGACGGCGTGGAAAGCCCGGCTCATGTAAGCCCTCCAGGCCTGGGGCAGCAGGAGGGCCCGGTGCCACTCTGAGGGCTGGATGTTCACCTACACGCCACACAGAGTGGAGTTAAAGTATCTGGTTTATTTCTCTAATGGAGAATGCACCAAAGAGAGGAGCTATGGAAGCCGTACTTCGTGGACGAGGGCGGTCAGGGTCTGCTGGTAGCTGCGGCTTCTGCTGACCAGAAAGCGATCGATCGGCCTGCCGTCACGGTCCGTCTGAACAGGAAGCTCATAACACAGCAGCAGTCCAGCTGAAAGGCGAACACTTCTGTGAACATTTCTTATTATAATGAGCATGAAGATTAAGTTTATGTGGTCTTTGGGCCACTTTAACTGCCCTCTGTGACCCTGCTAACAAAAAATAAACCACAAACACATTGCTTATGTCCATTAATTCAGTAGACCTTTTAAAATACAATAAAAAAAATACATGTGATTAACTCATTGACTGGCAGCCATTTTCAGAACAGAGTCCCATACTGCCAGAGTTTTTTGAGCATTTTGACTGATTTTTCTAGAGCCACAGAATAGTTTGTGCTATGACTATGTAAACACCGAACACACCAAAAGAAAGAGTAGACTCTCTTCTTTCATCAGGAAAAAAAATGTGTTTCTACCTTATTCCGTTCTTCCTGGACTTGCGTCTCACCGGCGACATGTTCTCTCATAGAACCGTTAGCTTTTTCTTATTTGCCTACAGTCTATGCTCATCTCCCATCAAAAGTGGCACTGCCACTTAGAGGGTCAATTTGTTACTACATACTCTGTCTAGAAGCCCATATTTACGGACAAGCTTTAGCAGATCGTCCCCCAGCCACTCGCGTTGAAAAACATAAAAGATGTCTATAGACATATTTGGCAGTCAACAGTTGTATTTGAATTGACGTCTATAGACGTCTTTGGCAGCCAATGAGTGAATCTATCTTTTTAAAGCTTTAGAAACTGTTTACTGAATTAAGAATTGCATTCCTGGCAACATTGCCTCTTACTCTCCAGCCATTAAAACTGGAATGCTCCTGAGGTTTGTTTCAGGTTGGCTGTCAATCAGAGAAACATGTTTTTGTCGCTCAGCTTCCTGCAATAACTCCACCAATAACATAAAACAAACAGCTAAAGTCTAAAGAAGAAAAACCAAGAGCAGGATAAACCTTCCACAGGCATAACGGAGGTAGATGTGCTCACCTGCTAGCCCAGGCTTCAGGCCAGGCTGCTTGTTTTTCTCGTAGGTCTTGAGCATGAACGACGGGATTCCAGCCACCGTTTTACCCTGATCGGACCGCAGACCGCCCCCCCTCAGGGCCGAGAAGTACACCCCCCGTGGCATCAGACTCATCTCCTGTTTCACCAAGGATGTCAGGAAGAGCTCAAAGGCTGAAAGGACAAAAGTGAAAATGAGATACTTGAAAAAGGAATTATCTCAAGAGAAATGCATTAGTTCAATATGCATGACAAAACCTGCTAGATGAAATACCTGTCCTCGCCGGAGGCATTGTGCTGGAGACTGTACCCCTTTAAGAAGCCATTGACCAACATGATGAACACACAAGCTTAATATACCTGGCAGAACAGAAACGGAGGTGAGTGCCATCAGTTTCATGTAAGATGAGCCTGGAATGGAGAGATCCTTCTCCTTCTCCTCCTCCTCCTCCTCCTCCTTCTTTTCATCCTTCTCCTCATTTTCGTGGATCTCCGTGGCTGGTCTGGCCTACAGGGCAAACAGAGAAACGGAAACAGAAACGGATGATTTATGGAGACAGTTTTAATTGAAAGCTAAACCCTAAAGGAACATTACATTACCGCCTGCAATGGATCATTAAGAAACATTAGGATTAAAAAGGAACAGAACCGCGAAAGAAAAATCTCTTTTGAATGCTTGGCAGCCAGTCTTTAAGACAACCGTGTCACTGAAAACAGAACTTCTATTTTATACGATTTGCTTAGAAAATAACTCAATACATTTTAAGACTAAAGGCTACGTTTTGGGGAGTGGAGCAGGGTTCTTACCGCAGCAGGAAGGTGAGGTATAGTGTGAACCGTTTCAGGAAAGCCTGCCAAGGCCTTGTAGCCACAGCTGGACACATCAGGATCCTGTTCCAGAAAACGCACAGTCAGCATGTTTGGTATTTAAAGCATAACTAGAAGATATGAACATGAGGCGCCAGCACACTGGAAGATTTAGAAGCTGCTCCACACGCTTTATTCTGTGAGTTCTGAGCAAAAATCTGAAGCTGTGTTCATTTCTATGTGTTGAGTGGAGCTTTACGGAATAACTGGGTGAGTTGTGATTAATTGTGAGAGTTTTGTTTTTGTAGTTTTTATCTTCCTGTCTATTTTAAAAAGTTTTAAAAAAAAGGAGCTGTTTGTAAAAAAACAGCAAATAGGAACTCCTCAGTTGGGCAGAATTTGAGACGGAGTTCACACCTTTACACACAGGTACAGGTGCCCGATTTAAAAAAGTTATGTATGTGTGAATGTTTTAGTAGAGATCCTACACAGTCTTTTAGAACCGAGACCCCAGCTCTTCAGCATACAGACCTTGCTTGAAGCATAACTCCAGAGGAAACTGACCACTTCATCTTTCAGTTTCTACGAGAAAAATACAGATACAAGATAAAATGATCCCTCTTTAATCACGACAGAGTTTTAGTTTAGAGAGTTCAAACACATTTATTAAGGGTTTTTTCAACTACTGAAGGAAGGAAAGATTCTACCACAATTAGTTTTAGGTCTAGCCAAGCCTTTAGTAGTGAACAGTCTTTTAATGGTAGGCATTACAGTAATACTACTGAATAAAATTATCAATACATTTGATTTAGTAACTGAGTAGCTGAGTTGTAGCTGAGTTTTGCCTGAGCAGTCATCTACTGAATGCCCTTACACTGTAGGCCATAGAGTTCTATCCTTATGGATCTTTTAATGATTATCAGAGTAAACATTTGCCTTTTAACCAATATTATTCTCTCAAGTCAAAGTCAGACGGTCAGGAAGATGATAAATGATAAGTAAGTGAAAGCACTACTATGATAAATCACATTAGGTACCTCATACTCCTCTGACTTGACGGTGAGCTGAGGGACCAGGGCCAGGAGCTCCGCTATGGCTTTAACCATCAGTGGACGAGAGTCGCCGCTCAGCTCTGGACCCAGACTTTTCCAGGTGGAGATTATGTCCACAACCTGTCAGAAAGGCCGAGCTCAAACTCAGTGGAACAGAAACACCTTGACTGAATCACCTCGGATTAAACCAAAACATTTCCCCATGGGAATCAAATGAGCTCGCTCATGTGAAAGACCACAGAGTTAAAGCCTTTTGAAAACACAAACGCTTGATAATGGTGGGATGGATTGCAGTACCTCTGCTCGGCACAGCTCCTGTAAGCCCTGTAGGGCTAAGGCAGCCGGGGTTGCCAGGTCTGGTTTGCTGCACTGCTTCAGGGTGAGGGAAATCGCAGCCAACATGTCCCCTCCATGCTGGTACGGCCTGACACGCACACACACACACACACACACATACACACAATTCTTACTGAGATAACTAATAAGGAGGCAGAAAAAGAGTCTCACATGTCTTTGACAGTGGCATTCTCTGCTAGAGAACAGCCTGTTTAGCGACATTACAGCAAAGGTCCTCATGGTTAGTTTAGTCGTTTTATCTTTCATTTCATCTTTCTTTACTCTTTTCTTTTAGCCAGCTGTCGAGTCGCCTGTCTATCGTGTCATAGCCTACATATTAACACATCTCCACTTTATCTGATGCTTTATGGTCAACCAAGTTTTCCATCTTTTCACTGTTACCTTTTGCTAGTTGAATAATTTTGTCTCACAGGGTAATTCCACAATGAGCACCAAAGCGGGAATTCTTCCCCACAAACTTAAGACTGATATCGTAATAACTCATTCTAACAAGTGTGAGCAGAGAGAAGTCGGTTTATGACCCAATTTTCCACAGACAGCCCAGCCCCTAGACTTGTGCTAGAGTTGCTAGAACACATCTCTTGTCATTTGAACGGTAGACAGTATTATCTACTGCTTCTTTCTGTGACTTAGTTATGCCAGAAAACAGCATCAAGAAGACAAACAGCACTATAAAGATTCTGCGTGTGCTTTGCTGTTACCGGCAGGACGGACTGTTACCCATGGAGTAGCTTTTCTGATAATCTCTGTCTAACACTCCCAACCCAACAGAGGATCAGAAAACAGATGACTGTTTGAGTGAAAGAGGTGGGGGTTATGACACCAGTCACTCTCTGAAAAAGTTGTAAAATTCTTCAAATTCACATGGCAACTCAAAGAAAGAAAGACCATATTTGAAATAGTTGCTATAAAGTTGCAGAGGATGCAACTTCATTATGTCTGACAGTTGCTAAGAAAGAAAGAGTAGCTAGAACCCCTTCTTTTGGATTAGAAATATCTAAAACAGGCCTACTATTGTGGGTTTCCAATGCTAGGCTATACAGTAAGGCAGGCTTTATTTTGGTGAGGGGTGCATTTTAGGAGTAGGATGAATTCAGGTTAGCTCAGGGAGGACGTGAGGCTGTGTGTGATGAGTGTGTCTGTCACCTCTCTCTGCAGATGTCCCTGAGGCAGGCGGCCCGGCACAAGAGCTGCTCCCACTGGGCCTCCTGCCCCCCCGGCCCCCCGGAGTCCTGCTGGCCCAGGAGACGCTGCAGCTCCGGGTAGACTCGGTCCTTCAGAGGCAAACACAGAGAGAAGACAAATGCATATTTCTGAGGAGCTCGGGATGAAGAAAAGTGACAGTTCTGATGAAAAGAAACCTGTTTTTTCCAGAGAGTGGTCATGAGACGCACGGCGACAGCCCTCAGCCTGGGAGAGCTGGCCAGCATGTGGAGGGTCTGCAGCACCAGGGGGACACAGAGCTGGAAAACCATCAAAACACTGTGGTTATACACAACGAAGGACAACGTGATTACATTTGGACGACGTTACAAGCCGAATCTTGCTCATTGTGAGGTTGGACGTTGTACCTTGTGAGTCCCAAGGTTGGGTAGGCAGTTAAGCACAGCATGAGCCAGTTTGGGGTTCTTTTCCTTTGCCAGTTTGAACAGCAGCACCGAGAGGAGGGAGGGAACCTGGACACACACAGGGGGTTTCGGCTTAACAAGTACCTTCAACCTCTTGGTTTGGAAGTGCAGAAGACAACTGACAAAAGACAAAAGATGGAAATCTGCTTTGAGTGTGAGACCCAAAGAAAAAAAGTGTCTTCAAATGTCTTTTTTGTTGTGATTTTCCATGTATTTAGACCTAAAAAAGAACATTAGAATTTAATTTTTAAAAAAAATATTTTTAATTTTAATTTCATAGCATGCCCACTGTGGAGGACAACAGGACGGTTTGCATGGGAAAATAGAACAGGCTTTAGATAATTAAATAATAAAAAAGAAGAAGTCTTGAAAGGGATATTTGCCTAAGAACTCTTAGGAAAAAAGTAAAGTTCCCATTATGCAAACCTATCACATGGCACATCACTGGAAAGCCCAGGATGTGCTCTAGAACACTATAGGGCTTGATAGGGTAACTCCAGATACTTAGGGGGGGGTACAGGTGGACAAAATGTCCACTATAATGGACATAAATGAATGGGCCGGGTCTCAGGAGGATAAATCATGGATATGGATTTGAGTTTTTTTACCCTCCTGACTTGAAAAGAGCTCTGTGGCACTTAATAGGAGCGACCACTTCCCAAAAGATATTTCAAACTCCTCTTAACCAGAAGCCTGTCAGAAACCTGCTCTGTGTAATAACCACTCTACTTCTCACCTTTAAGCCACTTTGAACAGTATCTGCCTTGTCACTGTAATTCAATGAACACACACACAGGGAAGTAGTGTGTGTCCCCCCCCCCCCCCCCGTGTCCCTGAAGCTTACCACATTATCGACAGATGATAGAATTGACCTGTACCAGGCTGTGATGCACCTTGTGTGGAAAATCTCTTCTTCCGGCCTGTCATCTTTGGTAAAGCTCCATCCCTGTTTTCCACCCACTCAACCCTTATCGGGTTACAGCTCTGACTCCAGGCGTGAGCAAAAGCCGTTTCAGAGTTGCTTCCATAAAAGAAAAAGAGAGGAAACGAGTGCGCTCTGACCTGCCTCCTGTGTGTTGTGGCTGACCAGTGTGCATGAACAACACTATATACACACAACGCTGTTTCTGAGGAGCTCTGCAGAGACTGCCCAATCCAAATATACTGTTTATAAATGCTGCGTGCTTCAATGGCCAATTATAAAAAAAAAAAATAAGGCATTAAACCCCAAACAGCAACTCCATATCCTGGTTAAAACCGATTTTTATATGAATTGGTCCTGAATATATTGTCTTGAATATTACTGGCTGCAGAAAGCTAAAGAGTTGATAAAAATGACTGAACCAGGTGCCAAAGTCTAAGCAAAAGAAAAGGGATTTGATGCAGAAATAAAGCCGGTTTTATAATGAATGAGTCTTAATGAGTCATTCTCATACCCTGCATGGTGTTCATGACACAAGTGGAAGTATATTTTTAACGTATCCAAGTAGAATTCAGAGACCAAGTGTGGCTATTGCAACATTGTAATGTATTAGTCCTAACTCAGGTCTTTGCAAATCATTTTCCTACACTGTGATGGTGAAATTATGCCTTTGTGACAGAAATGGGACACAGTGGCACTTTCAAACTGTTTTTAACAGACTTTTTCTGTCCTCTTTTGTCAGTTGGAGATTTCAATCTACATACAAACATTTCCTCTCTCTGTAAACTCAGAAATGACCAAAATTTCAACGTGTGTCATTTGGACATTTTGAAGATAAATCACGTTATCATGTAAAACCTGTTTAATGTTTGAATTAGCTGATTGTAGCTGATTGTGTCCCGATTCATTTCAATGACAAAAAGTTTGGAATAAAAAAGCTGAATATCTTAAGAATAAAAAGAGTTTAGAAAAAAAAAGGAAAAGTCATTCTGCCCGTATCCAGAACAAGTTGGATGTTACAAATTAGTCCATAAATGTAGATGAGAACTAAACAGAAGAGTAAGTAAGAGGACCACTACAGTGTGAGGACTGAGTGAAGAGTGGACAGTAATAAAACCAGAGCAGAATGGTCAGAATGAGCACCGTTTCCTTCGGCTGTGAGTGTAGAAACGGGAAAGAGCCAGGGTCCTTGGTCACACAATGGCTCTGCAGTGTAACAGCCTTTAATCAACATAAAGCACTCAGTCCTACCACGCAACTCCACGGTTGCCTGGCAACCACATCACCTGCGTGGTTTGAGAGCCAGAAAGGCGTGCACAGAAGGAAATTCAGTTTTTCCTTCTTTAAAGCATCCACTTCTAAACTTAACCATCCCTTTTAATCAGTACTTGTGAAAATGAGAGATGCTCTGGGCCTCAGGCGGCAGCTTTGTAATTAGCATGTAGCAGGTAGACCCCAGGTAAACAAATCCACCGGGTTCACATCCAGCAGGCACTTTGGGAGCAATTAGAGCAGCAAGGGGACACTAGCAGGCTTCCTCCAGGCCCGTGTAATGAGCCTCTAACACCATGAGGCACTTCCTCACAGCTCCCGGTGACAGCCACTCCATTTACGGTCCCGGGAGGGGCCGAGGACAGCCTGTCAATTCTTCTCCTCACACACCTGCAGAATATTCAGCAGCCCAGGCAGACCGGATAGACTCTGGTATTGTTGTCATCAGTTCATGTTTGTGATTATTGTTTGTGTTGTTTTTAACCAATTTATGTTGACCTAGAGTGTCCAGAAAGGGGCCTTTTAAATCAAATGTATTATAAATATAGTAAAAATGTGCAGAAAATATTGACTTTGATGTTAAAATAAACAAAAAGACATGTGTATTGGATTTGCTTGTTTTTTAGACATTTTGTTAAAGAAAAAACACTTCAGATGAAAATAAAAAGTTAATATTTTTATCAATTTTTTGTTGGGTCAGATCACAGTGTTTGTGATTTGGGGTTGCTTCATCGATTTGGGTCCAGATTGTCTTGAAAAATAATTGTATATCCTGGTTAAAAGTCCTTCAAAATAATGTGAGACAATTTGGCTAAAAGTTGAAGTGTAAATGGACCTTTAAGCGTGATCATAAACTTCAGTACAATATCAAACCCACCACGCAATGGCTACAAAACTCAATAAGTAGGGTTACGGAACAGAAAAGAATCCTATTGACTTCAATCACACCAAAACATTTTAGAAACGTATTTTAAGCAGAGCACCCCCTGAGACATCTAGCAAAAGTTGGACTAGTTCATTGAAGTGAGGCAAAATAGGAAGAATGTTGGATTTTTTTTAGTCTGAAGTCTTTCTTTGGCCCCTCAACAACATATGAAGAAAAATAACTGAAATTATTTTGATCAAATTAGCGTGCAATAAGTAAAAACTATATGTTGGTGTAGTCTTCTACTGGCTGTTATCAGGTATATCTGAATGTGTACAACAGGGGTTTGAGCAAAGCTTTTACCACTGAATGATGCAGAAAGTCTCACATCCAAAAGACTTCAGAAACCGTATGTATCAAATATAATACATTTGGCATTATAGGGTTAAAACCTACTTTTGACTCCCTCTGCAAAGCGATGTTTTTGTTGAACACATTATTTCAGTGTCAGAGGGGAACTTTTTTTTCTTTTGGCTTTGTTTACGTGCCACCAAAAGGTACAGGCATTAAGGGAAAGATGCTATTTTTGTTAAATGACAGCAGAGCAGGAACTCAGACGCTGAAGGATTGAGGGGACAGTTGTGGGGGTCATCTACCTGGCAGGGGTCAGCAGCAGCGATGGCCTGGCCGGCGGTCAGAGCCAGCTGGCAGACGTCCTCCTGGCCAGTGATGATGAGATGAGTCACGACCAGAGAGAGGGAGGGGGGCGGGCGCTGGCCGGGGGACAGGGCAGAACGAACCGCCAGCAGCCAATCGGCCGCCGCCACTGGATCCTGGGCCAGTTTGCGCAGGACGGACAGAGCCACGGTCAGCTCACTGTACCAGTCGCTGACCGATAGAGCCAGAGCTGGGCCAGGCTGAGGAAACAGGTTTAAGAACAAGAATCACTCATTAACACACAGTTACATGAGCTAATAATCATAAGTCATTAAAAAAGAAATGTCACCGCCTTTTAAATATTCTTAACCAAGTTCTTTAAATCCAAAAAAAAAGGCCGTCGGTGGCAACAGGTGGGTTTTGATTTAGACGCACTTGCTTTATTTTTTTGTAAAATTCTAAGAAAATAACAAACAACATTCCATTATAACTTTGCTGCAAACAAAAAGTAACAAAGGTGATCCAAAAGGTGAAATAAAAGTATAGCGTGTGACGTGTGGCGTGCTCAAAAAATCATAGTGGCAAACCTCCCGTCATCACACCTGACATTCCCCCCCCCCAAACCACAACCCCTGGCTGTTTTAAGTCTTCCAAATTAATGGGAGGAGCTTGGAAAATTACTCAATAAATCCCAACAATTAAACTAAAAATGGTTCTTTGCAAATTAAACATTTCAACTACTTACAATTAAACAGAACACGTGAATGACGAAAAGTTTACTTGAATGGCCACAGCAAGAAGAAACACCAGTGAAGAAAATAAAGAAAAAGATCCAATCTAAATTTGCCTGTTCATTGACTTTGACTGGGTAATTGATTTTCTGGTTATTTTTGCTCTTTACAGACCCAGCCTGTCATGGTAGCTGCTTTTATGCTAAATCAGGATGATTTACACTGGCTGATAGCAATTATTTGGCATATATCACTCATTTTTGTTTAGATCTATGTGCCAGGAACGAATACTCATTTTTTCCACTCTTCTCAGTAATTTCTTATTTTTTAAATTAAGACCATATTAACATCTTAACTTTTTTTCAGGGAAGTTAGCCATAATGCAGCTTTATAAACATGTTGTATACGTTTTTGTATAAAAACGTAAAACGTAAAGACTACCTGGACGGCCTTTTAAAGCCCAATGTCACCACTCGCTCACTCCCTTTCCCCAGGGAGCCCCAGCTAACACGGCCATGTTAATCTGGACTCCTCTCATCTTTGTTTCCACGCTGGTGGAACGACGTCACAAGCACTATCAGAGAATCATATTCCCTTTCCTGCTTCAAAAATCCCTGAAGACCCAGCTCTTCTGAGAGTGTCTCGTGTCCTAAAAGCTCTAAATGTTTATTTCCTGATAGCATATAGCACTCAATGCGTGGTACTTTTGCAATCTATGTCATAGTTGAATGATAAACGCTGAATGTTAAATCCTCTTCCAGCATATTACACTCATATAAGTGTGGAACTGGGGTTGGAGCTGAATACTAAACCCTCTTTTTGTGAGTCTCTTTGGATAAAAGCGTCTGCTAAATGAAGAAATGTGAACGTAAAAGGCATTGCTGCTTTTCTGGATCCGTGGCTGTTCTGGCTCCTGCTGATTGGTTGATAGTGCTTGATCAATCAGTGATAAGATAAGGTTACTGAAATCAAGTGATTACATTTATTCCTTCATAGCAGAGTGATACCGAAGTCAGAATCCCAGATAAAAATCTCAGTTATTATTATAACTCCAAAGAGAGAAGCAGATCCGTAATTGACAAATGAGATCGGAATGCCTTTGAGACAGGGGTGTGGGTTTAAAAGAGTGCTAGAAATGGGGGAAACCAATAATTCCCTTCATGCAAATAGGAAAGATATGGACGGACAGAATTGAGTCACCCCAAATGTGGTTTAATCTTATAAGACAAAGTACCTTATAAGAGGGGAAGAGGGGCTGATGGACGGTTACCTGTGGGACTTGTTCTGCAGGTTTGCTGATGCTGACCAGCAGGCTGTGGGCCAGCCTGTGGTTGAGGCGGTGCGTCCTGTGGTCAGACAGCGGCTGGGTGAGGCCGGAGCAGGACAGCAGCTGCAGCAGAGGCAGGGCCAGGACTGGACTCAGCCAGGGGCACGGCCCCTCTTTTTCAGGGACTAAACTCAAAGCTGTGTCAAACCAAGAGGAGAAAACAAAAGACCCATGAGATGACAGGGGATCCGGACTAAAACTTTTCCACCGAACTGCCCGCTAAAAGGGCCTCACACTACATGTTTTCAAGTGCATACAATGCGGTCAAAAATACACAACTACCAAGGCTCAGGAGTACTTTGGAAAATTCTTTAGCCCTAAACACCTTCCACCTGACAAAACCTCCAAGTATCTGATCAAAGATGACACTTTGGACAAACTCAATGAGGTAAACCATCAATACAAATTTCCCTCCACATGATCAGGACGCAATAGTTTGACTTTGGTCAGACTAATGTGTTCATGTGTATTTTAATGGTTTAAAGGTTTTTTTATGTTTAAAATTTTCACGAAATTACATTTCTATATTGGGAATATTGTGGTACAGTTACTTTACAATATTCATGTGATCTGCCATGATACAATTGTTAAATGTGTAGGATTTATTAAGCATCTGTCCATATTACTGATAAAAAAAATCCTCATATGATATGGTCCCTACTATTAAACACATTTACTGCCACTACCTTATTAGGTTAGCTCAGCTAAAAAAGATGATTCATTTCGACTACAGGAAATTCTTGCCTATGAAGATCTCTCAAATAAGAAACAAAATCCACAAAGAATCATTTGTGAGTGCACATGTTGTTTTACCCAGACTGAGCAGGCTGCTCTGCTGAGCGGGCGGGGCGTCCAGCAGGAGCAGGCCTACGCCCAGCAGCAGCTCGTCCACGGGCGCCTCCTGCAAAACACGTTTAGCTTCACAAACCGGATGACCAGCGGATGACCAGCGGATGACCAGCGGCGATCCCAGATCCACCGCCTGACCGGACGCTGCCCGCTCACCTGCTGGCAGGTGGGCAGCAGCCGCTGCATCAGGTTGAGGAGTGGACGGCAGTCTCCGTTTAGCTGGAGGCATCGCTGGCACGCACACAGCAGCTGCACGAGCAGCCCCGCCCTCTCGGTCAGCCAGCAGGCCCCCGGAGCCTCGGTCAGGGGCTGGACGAGGGTCTCTACGACCCCGCAGAGCTCCAGCACTGCCTCCACACTGTCCAGCTGCAGGGAAACACACACAGCCCAACCACAGCAAATCACGTTTTCCCCTATGAGCCTATTGCTTATACACACACACAAATGTATACACATTGTTATATATACCCTCCTGAGACCCGGCCCATTCATTTATGTCCATTATAGTGGACATTTTGTCCACCTGTACCCCCCCTAAGTATCTGGAGTTACCCTATCAGCCCTATAGTGTTCTAGAGCACATCCTGGGCTTTCCAGTGATGTGCCATGTGATAAGTTTGCATGCTGGGAACTTTACTTTTTTCCTAAGAGTTCTTAGGTAAATATCCCTTTCAAGACTTCTTCTTTTTTATTATTTAATTATCTAAAGCCTGTTCTATTTTCCCATGCCAATCGTCCAGTTGTCCTCCACAGTGGGCATGCTATGAAATTAAAATAAAAAATATTTTAAAGAATAAATAAATTGTAATGTTCTTTTTTAGGTCCAATACATGGACAATCACAACAAAAAAGACATTTGAAGACACTTTTTTTCTTTGGGTCTCAGGAGGATATACATATATATATAAAATGTCATTTTCATTTCATTCCGTTTATTTTGAAACATGATATGATTTTACAATGTTTACATAAAATGCTTCCCAAACATGCATCATATTTCAAAAAGGATGAAGCATAAGCTTATTAAGCCCCGCCCCTCAGTTACATGAGTCGTGGTGGTAAAGGACGATTACAGTAAGACAAACAGTATAACTTTTTATGTGTTATTCTTTTTTGTATTCATCAAAAATACTTTTCTTATATTGTTTTTTGAATTGCTGGATGCTATTACATTGTTTAATATTTTCAGGCAAGCTGTTCCAGAGCTTCACTCCACTAACTGATAAACTGAAAGTTCTTTTTGTTGTTCAAACACACTTAGTTTTGAAATTTAATTTTCCTCTTAGATTATATTTTCCATCTCTATCTGTAAACAATTGTTGTATGTGTGCAGGAAGTAATTCATTTCTTGCTTTATAAAGAATTTGAGCAGTTTTGAAATCAATCAGATCTACAAATTTGAATCCGGGAATAAACAGTGAGTGTGATCTCTATAATGTTTGTTATTCGTTACTCGTATTGCTTTCTTTTGCACAATAATCAATGGTTGAATGTCTGTTTGGTAAGTGTGGCCCCACACTTCAACACAATAGGTTAGATAGGGCTGAAAAAGTCAGCAACAACATAAGAGTTTGTCCAGACATTGCCACATCTGGACTTTACCTGCATATATGGAACCAGCGTGCAGAGGCAGAGCAGCATGGACTCGGACACGGCCGAGGACTTGTTGTTAAGGGGGTCCGGTCCGGTTCCCTGCTGCTTGGTCAGCAGCACTCTGAGCAGGCCCTGGCGCAGAAGAGCGTGCTGGGGCTGCCTCTGGGGCTCACAGTACAGGTACCGGAGGAAGGGCGCCAGCATGGCGATGTAGGACGTTTTGTTCCTGAGGTTTATGAACGCATAAGAGGCACGTCAGAAACTCTGAAAACACCCAGCGGTGCCAGAAAATTTCTAGGTTCTGTGGAAGAGGCTCAACAGTTCATCAAGAGGCTTCCAAAACCACAGGAGGACCAATAAAGGAGCAACGTTTTTCCGAGGGCTTTCTTCAGAAACACAGGCAGGCTGCTTTTCCTCAGGGCGCAGCAGGTACTGTAAATATAGACTTATGTCATATTACCCTATTTCCAATAGACTTTTTCTGGCCATCCTTTTGGTTGGTATTGGACTTTATGAATGGAAGGGTAGCTCTGTCATTCTATTTCTTGTGGTTGCCTCAATTTTTATTGCAATACTACTTTCCTATGGTGTTTATGACAGCCAGAAACTCTGAAAACCAGCTTTAATCAGTTAAACATCTTAAGTCAAGTTTAAGCTTTTCTCTATAGAAAATTCCATAAAGTCTTCATCTTTAAAAGCAAAACGTGACATTGAGATTTTCTGCATGTCAGGGTCAGTGGTGGGAAGTAACCAAGTACAAGTACAAGTACTTCGTTACTGTACTTAAGTACAATTTCCGTGTATCTGTACTTTACTTAAGTAGATTTAATAATGGATACTTTCCACTTTTCCTCCACTACATTTAACAGTAAGTCTCTGTACTTTTACTTCACTACATTTCTGTACAGCGTTTCGTTAATCGTTACATCCAAGACGCATTTCGGTTTTTTGATTTGTTCGTTAGTTTGAAAGTATCCAATGGCGAGAGCAGAATCAGTCCGCTGAACCAATCCAAAGCGGGAAATAACCATTAGGCCCTCCCTCAAGAAGAGCAGCACAGTACCAGGACCTGCATAAAATATCTAAATCTAACCTGTCACAGGGGGTAAACACAATAAAAACATGCTTTATCTGCAGCATTGCTCATTAAAATGGTACATTACTGATTTATTCAAACTAAATACGATAGGTACACTTAATGACATTATATAAGCCGTTAGCTATTATGGTTGGCAAGTACTTTTACTTTTAATACTTAAGTAGTTTTAAAAGCTTGTACTTTCTTACTTTCACTTAAGTAAAATAATAATGTGGTACTTTGACTTTTACTTGAGTCAATTTTTGTCTGTGTATTTGTACTTTTACTTAAGTACATTATATAAGTACTTTCTCCACCACTGGTCAGGTTCGTATGATGAGTTGGGTGCTTCTCACATGTGCTTTTTAGATTCAAACACTGAGGGCCTGAGTGATTGGTGGGTGGGTTCGGGGTCACCGTGGGGGGCCGTTCTTGCCTGTCATCTGCCTGCCGAATGAAGTCATCAATCTCCAGCAGCAGGGCGGGCCAGCAGTCGGCGCGGTTCTCCAGAGCCGTGATGTACGGGTGAGGCCTGAGTCTGCAGGGGGGAAGACAGCCGAGTGGTCATTAGCCAAACGGTCAAGTTCAGCCAAAACACGCTGACAACCTGCATTAAGGTGCAGACATTCAACAAAATATGCTTCTGATTATCTTCAGCTAGTATTTAGCTTCTAAAACCTTTAAAATATGTCATGGTGACATTGGAAATGAGCCTATCTATCAAGTACCATGACATCCAGGTTGATTCCCAAAGACTTGGGCTTCCGCGCTTATTTTTTTTTTCTGCTGTCCTCATATCAAATTGTAGCCGGCTATCATTTTTGGTACCACTTCTTTCACAGTGGGGGATTTTCCCCGAACCCTCTTCTTATTTCATATTTCCACTGGATCATTACAGACCTCCGTCATCTTATGTTTGTACCAAAAAATGGAAAAATGTTGCAGTTTCTCAGTCAATTATCTTTATTGCAGTTCTTGAGGTGACACTAAAAAGACTATGGCTATGTACTGACACACTGTTGCACACCTAGATTTAGAATTTCATAACTTTGTGTTAGATGAGTTAATAACGTTTTGTCCCTGTGAGTCAATATATCTGATTAGATGTTGCATATGAAAACAAATGATTATCCATCCAGTCATGTTATGCAAATGACTACTTAATGAATTTGATGCAGTCTAATGCAGTTTTTAATATTTCTTTGCTATGGATACTCGTTTTCATTCATGATAAAAATACGTTTTTTATAACCCTCCCGCTGACAAAATAGTTAAACTTAATTAAAGTTTATGGACTAACAAGTATCTAATGTCTTAAATTTAAAAGTTTTTTGCTGTGATATACTGTAAATGACAGACGGTTTTGACGTGTCTAGTTAAGATCTTTTACCACCATTCTACTGTATAACATCTAAAAAAAGCAGTCAATTTTTTCTAATAATAATTAGGGCAAAAGATGTTTTCATAACCTCTGACCCTGTAAAGCATTCTTTAAGTTGCTCACTGTGCCAACAGGCAGGGTCCTAACATAAGAATGTTCATATCTGCCATTGCTAATAACTAATGCTCTCCAAAAATAGACGCATTTACAACCCAAATTCATTCTACCTTTAAAACCCAGATTATTTTCAGACATTAGAATTTATGCTAAAATTACATATTTGTACCCAACAAGCAGAGGTGGAGGGTGTTCATGCAACTTTATCTAATAAATGTACATTTTTCAACTGTTTTACACCGCTTCTACGTCCTGTTTTTATTGTTTAACATACAGGGACACTTAAAAACCAGGACATTTAGCTATCATCAGCACCGCTCCAAGCACTACCTTTTCCTTTACCTTCCTTTCCTTTGAAGAACAAACAAAGAACCTTTCTCAGTCTGCATTAAGTGCAGACAAAACACTGAGGTCAACTCCAAGTTGAAGAGCCGGCGCGTTATTAGGGCTCCAGTCCCAGAAGGCTGGGGTTATATCAACACCTAACCCATTTGTTAAATCCCTCATTAAGTATCCAAATGGAGGAAGGAGGCTCTTGGACTGAGCATGTCTGTGCATGCCAATGACCGCAGCACTGCCCATCCAGCTGTTTCTGCCTAGTCCTGAAAGGTGTAATCTGCCTGACCATCACGGTTCAGGCTCCCCGCGGCTGTTTCCAGCCCCTCGCCTTCATCATGGCTCCCATCCATCAGCCATGGCGGGGCCCTCTACTTTTGAGCTGTCACACAGAGGAGGAAGTCTAGATAGACGGCTCTTAGTCTGACTCCAAGTTCACCAAAGGGGTCGAGTAACATTGAGCCATGGTTCTGCTCGAGGTTTCTGCCTGTTAAAAGGAAGTTTTTCCTTGCCTGTGTCGCCTAGTGCTTGCTCATGGTGGGAATTGTTGGGTTTCTGTAACTAACTTCAGAGTAGGGTCTGACCTGCTCTGTTTGGAAAGCTGTGAGACAACTGTTGTTGTGATGTGGCGCTATATCAATAAAATTGAATTGAATTGAATTAATTTTAATTTTGTAATGTCAATGTCTGAACGTGTGTTTGGACTGATTTTGTATTTTGTGATTTTGTGTTGTTTGATCTTCCTGCCTCAGGACCACAGATGTAAACTAGCAACTATGCTATAATCTGGCTCATTTACAATCTGTATGAGATTGTTCATTAATGTGCACTGTCCTGATTAAATAAATAAATAAATAAACATGGAGCTGTTGCTGCCTGGAGATGTTTCTCTGGCTTTTTTTGCAGTGTACCACAGGCTGAGGGAAGTACCAGGACACTTCAACATACGCAACAAAGATCCTTTAACTAGATTGAAATCAAATAGGAAATTGGGAATGATGGAGCCATTAAAGTCCTGTCACATTGACAGGTGGAGTAGGGAGCTAACCAACACAGAAAATATTGAAGACATCCTCTCATTAAATAGATAATGAAAGCCTTTTTGGGAAGGCGCTCATAGGACCTGATCCAGCTCAGCTCCTACGCACTCTCCCTCCCACTCCATTTGAACATTTCCACGGTGGTTTCTACAGCAAAGGCAGCTTCGAACCAACCTACATATACCCTCACAAAGATAAGAGGCCACGCGCCAACCTATCTGAGCTCCATGCCGTTTCTTAAGCTAAATGTGCTAGGTTGGCTCATTATCTCAGAAAAAAAAAAAAAACACATATTATAAACTGATCATACATGCCACAAGCACTAAAAATAGTCAATATTTTCTCCAGAGGTCTGTACATCTTTTCATGATTACCCATAACATCTGGAATGTATTTAATTATTGTCCATACCGCGTATTTGTAGTAGGGTAATTTACTCCCAGAGGCAGTTTAGAGTGTCCAAAAATCTCTAAAAAATTCATGTTGGAGATTTGAAAATGAGAATAAACTATTTTCATGTTGGTTTAAAAATGTGTACATGATGTAAATTGGCAATAGAGCGTAACGTAAACCAACAAAGTCTAGCAAAATCTAAAGAGACTACCGCCGTTACAAATACAGAAACTTTAAGAAACCCAAGACAAAAGTATGAGAGGAAGCTAAAAAAAAAGTGGATGGGCGAGCAAAATGGCAAAAATTGAAATCACGCTGGACTTTGTAGATCTGAGGGGGGGAAACAGGATGAACAGGGGTATTGACAGATGTACAGTTAGCTTTGTTGTTGCCATTGCTCATTAATAACCTATCAACCCTCCCTCCTCTTATATTGTGTATGTTTCACTTTGCTCCACGTAATCATGAACACAACACAATCTTGTTCATTCCTCCCTTGGCTCTGTGCAAGGTGGAAATCAAAGGAGTTCCAAGCTGTGGTTCATCATTCTTGTAATAAAACCAAATTCCCATGTTTATTTACTCCTGAGATTTACTTTAGTTCTTTATATCATGACTAACAGCGAATACACAACATTAGAATGTACTCTGCAGTGTTTTCATCCACGTTGTGTTATCCATGAGAGCGTGAAACATCATTTTTAATCACCTCTCTCTTGCAGGAACACCTTAGGTTAGCATCCCTGTTCTGTTTCAGACAGTTTGAGCACCAAACATGGTGTCAATTTAGGGATTTTTGGCTTCAAAATATGAAACAGTGCTTCAGGAAGAACGATACATCATTCTCCACCTCAACTTAATTTTTTACCGTGTGAATTGTTCAGGTTTTTATTAGAATTTCTGGTCTTTCCAATGAAGAGGCCAATATTTTATAATTCAAATATGCCAGTCGGGAGTCAAGCAAGAGACTAAATGCTCATTTAGCCTGACATCACTAAGGCGGCACAAGCCAGTCCATTTTGTATTTTGATGTCTCCATCATTCTGTGAAACGTTTGTTGGTGACCTTATTCATCCAAATGGCTGTAACCTGGACTGCTACATTAGATTAGACAAGCCAAAAATATAAACAGATATATTTCAGAATTCCATTAGGACAGAACGATGAATCGATAAGGCTTCATCTCTTCCAGGGTGGAGCTTTTTGTTTCACTCTAAAGGTGCTGATCCCCATCTCAGTGTACCTGAAAGGCAGGGAAAGCTCCCCACAACAGCCAGACTGGCTCACTGAGGAACGGGACACAGCCCTGACCCTCCCCTGACCCTCCCCTGACCCTCCCCTGGTCCTGCCGGGGGCTGAAGGTTCCGGGTCTCAGTGGCAGATCGCTAAGGGCTGCTGCGCGCGGACGCACAACAATGGGCACCAGTGTGTACCCGCCATTAATCCGCCAGCATTTCCAGTCAGCCCCCAGTGCCAGGCCGGACGACCAATGGCGGGCCAGACCGCCAGGCCAATGGCGCCATCCTGCTGCCCGCCACACATTCATCCTCCCACCAGGGAGGTTCCTCTACCAGACAGACGGAGGGAGCAGACAGCGATGAAGACGGAGGGAGAGAGAAGGACAATGGGGAAGAATAGAGATTCGGAGAAGGGGAGGCTTAGACTGAGAGGTATTTTTAACTCATTGACTGCCAAAGACGTCTATAGACGTCTTTTATGTTTTTCAACGAGAGTGTCTGGGGGACGATCTGCTAAAGCTTGTCCGTAAATATGGGCTTCTAGACAGAGTATGTAGTAACAAATTGACCCTCTAGGGGGCAGTGCCACTTTTGATGGGAGATGAGCATAGACTGTAGGCAAATAAGAAAAAGGGAACGGTTCTATGAGAGAACATGTCGCCGGTGAGACGCAAGTCCAGGAAGAACGGAATAAGGTAAAAACACTTTTTTTTTCCTGATGAAAGAAGAGAGTCTACTCTTTCTTTTGGTGTGTTCGGTGTTTACATAGTCATAGCTCAAACTATTCTGTGGCTCTTGAAAAATCTGTCAAAATGCTAAAAAAAAACTTTGGCAGTATGGGACTCTGTGTTCTGAAAATGGCTGCCAGTCAATGAGTTAAAAAGGAGAAACAGGTTTTAGAGACAGAGTGAGAAAGACGGGGGGGGGCAGAAAAGAAAAAAAAAAGCTTTTTTTGACACAGGTGCTGATCTAAGGCTGGAGAAGGAAGAGAAGAAGAAATGAAGAGGAGGATGAGGAGAAGGAGGAAGATGTTCAGAGCTCCCCTGAAGTCACTGATGCCCACTACCTGCCCACTGCACTTTTGACCGCCACAGGTCAAAGGTCAAAGATAAAGAGGGAAGTCTGTGTCAATTACATGAAGTTAATACTTTAGTCATCCCCTTTTGCTTGCTCGCCAAAGAAGAATCAGCATATTAAACATCCATCCATCCATTATCAATACCGCTTATTCCCTGATGGGGTCGCGGGGGGAACTGGAGCCTATCCCAGTGGTCAACGGGCGAGAGGTAGGGTACGCCCTGGACGGTCCCCAGTCCATCACAGGGACACACAGAGACACACAAGGACCAACAACCAATCACATTCACTCCTAAGGGAAATTTCCCCAATATCCAATCAACCTAACGTGCAGGTTTTTGGACTGTGGGAGGAAGCCGGAGAACCCGGAGAGAACCCACGCAGACACAGGAGAACATGCAAACTCCACCCAGAAAGGTCCTGGTTCCCCCGGGATTCGAACCCAGAACCCTCTTGCTGGGAGACAGTGCTAACCACCACACCACCGTGCCGCCCTGCATATCAAACAATGCTAGCTAAAAAGAAAAGAGAATAAAAAAAAGCTGAAATTCACAGTAAACAGATTAATATCAAAGTATAAGCGAGTAGATCCAGTACTAACGAGCGGAGTTCAACCCCGGCGCGTGCTTTTGGGCCGTGTGAGCAGCGACAGCTGGACCCGCAGACACGCTAAAGCACCTCTGCAGCTGCTGGAACCAGACTCCCCCGCTGCCGTTCTCACGCTGAGCCACAATCCCCACATAAGCCCCACGATTTGCCGTGATGGTGACGCGGTCCAGAGCCTGAGGGGGACCGGGGCCTTCACTATCTGGGCCTCTGCGGCTGGAAATGAGCCGGCCTGAGATCTGTTCCATGCTAAATAAAGCAGCTATGCTGATGTTTGTCTGCTTTTACATCAGATGTTATTCTGTATTTTTAACTAAATTTAAAATACAAACAATCTGACATTCACAGATACACAAACTGCAATTTTCCAGATCTGTGTCTGAAACATTTGGACGTGTAGCTGGGCTGGAGATTAAATTACCACCAATGAAAACCAAACCCTCTATGGGGGCACGGTATGAATCTTTTGCTCCCAAAGAAATCTGAGCCCCCAGATAACTTTAATAGCTTAATCGTTATCCGTAAAGGATTAAGATGAATCGTATCTGAAAGTTTTTATTACGCTGACTGCCAAAGGCTCCTCTCAACGCCAACAAAGCAGTAAACAATCCGGTCTCAGCCCACATTTCTCATTTCTTTTATTGAATATAGAGTAGTGCCTCTGAGATTGCTGGAGAGGAAAGTAAAGAAACAAATGGAGCCTCAGAGGAAAAGCTTCCCGCTTTCCTTATGGATTCAAATAAATGAATCAGGTCAATAGATATTACATAAAACCATAGACGGGACATGGAGGATGGACTGACCTGATGGAAAATGGACAGGTGAAGGGTGTTTCCCCGTCCCTCTGGTCAGCCAGCATCTGCAGCAGCCGCCCGATGACCTTTATGAGCCCCTGGACATTTCTGTTCATATCGTAAAGAAAAAAACACATACAGAGGAGTTCATCATCCCGGAAACATTCAACACAGGCTATGAGTTAAAAAGAAACTGTACTGTTGAAGATAAAAATAGATAAAAAAATGTTCCAGCCTCTGAAAAATCAGAAGGAGGAAACACAGAACCTGGTTGGAAAAGTGCATTCTATGCATAATGGAGGCACATCCAGAAATCCTCTTTTACATAAGAGGAGAACATCTTTTCATCAGCTAACCTCACAGGAGATACAGAATATCAGAGATGTTTTATTCCTTCTCCATAAGTGTATTCCACACAGTAACTACACAGTTATTAAGGGTTAATAACCCTCCATCCACCTCAACTACAGCAGATGCTGCATTCACGGCAACTCTAAATAAAACTATTTTACGCTCTTTCTGTTCTGTTATTCACATTAAATTTCAAAATTACATACTTATTTAATCTAAGCGAAGAAATAAACGTGCACATGATACTCGTGGTACACACAGCATTTTGCCTCACGAATACATTAATACCAAAATCGGATTTGTCAGAAAACAAAACAGTACAAAACCATCAACAATCCCACTGACAAACCAACTTTTTCTAAAAAGAATATTTTTTGTGCCCGCAAGTGCAATAAGGCTAAAACTAATTCAGAAATCTTCATGGAAACATGTTACATGTGTTAGAAGTTCTTTAAAACACAATAAAAGACTCTGAATTGAAATAAATGATCATGTCTGACTATCAATAATTTCATAATTTCATTATTTTCAAAGCTAAAAAGCTTGTATTCACTGATGAATCTCAAACTAATTGAATCAATCAACACTTTATAAATCTACAAAAGTTTGCTGCTTTAAAAGAAGTAATTTGTTACTGTTAAAATATGACGGGTATGACAGAAAGGAGCTAATGTGGATGTGATAAACCCCCCCCCCCTTTAGATGGTGCAGACTCCACTCTCCATCCCAGACTTTTAAAGGCTCTTGCTGTGCAGAAACTGCAGAAGCCGAGCCTCCTGAAGATGTCCAGTCTGCTCTGTCCTGCCCTGCCTGGACACGGAACAGCCTGGGTGTTCCATTTTGAAAACTCAGGGAGTAAACTGCTGAAACTGGATGCAAATACACCTGGAATCGTCTCGTTTGAATGAGCCCAGACTCTGAGTCATGCTCTGTGGACTGACTATCAGACTGCTGTGTACCTGGCCTTCCAGAAACAGCTGTGGTCAGCAGATGACGGCTTGACCAGTGCAGAGCCACAGGTAACAGCTGCTACTACGTTTAACCTACTGCCTTTAGGACCTCCTACTGGAGTCAGACAGGATGTAAAAGAGTGCATGAGCTTACAGCTGTGCACGGCTGTGCTGAGCTCACTGCTGGTGTGGCCCACAACCCCACCTAATGACTGACCCCCACACGCCCGCCATGAGAGGTAGGGATGGGACGGTTTCTGAAACCCGTGTGAACCGTTGGGTTCTGTCTCGGTTGGGTTTGCGTGTGTTGGTTGGGTTCCTGCTGCTCCTTTTTCTCAGAGGGAAGCGTTTACACTCCAGAGCAGAAGGGGGCGCTACTGCGCCCAAAGCCAACCACCAGTAGGAAACAAGAAGAAGAAGAAGAAGAAGCAGCGTAGCCCATAAAAATCAGACCCAGCAGCAGTTTCTAGGTCTGCTGTATGGACCAGTTTGCATTTAGAGGGAAGCACATGTTGGAATTAGCTCTGTTTCCTCTCCTAATGCCAGAATCTCACCTACTTTAACCTCAGACTGTCACAGTAATTGATCAAATGTCAGACTGCTTTTTTCTTTCAGTTTTAACCTGACTATACAAGACATAATAGATTTTCCTAACAATCACCATATACCGAACCGAACCCAAAACCGTGACCACGAAACCGTGAATCGAACCGAACCGTGGATTTTGTGAAACCGTCCCACCCCTAATGAGAGGAGATGTTTTTTGTTTTTTTTTTGTTTTTTTTTTTTCCCTTGTCCTGTTCAGCATTATGGTAGTAGAACTGACATCTGCGTACCGTGCAATGCTGAGCAAAATTGCTTTGCCAAGGGAGGCTTTGTTAGTTAGAAGCCCCCCTTGATTACCCAAAACTTCTTTATTTATTCATTTTTGTTACCAAACTTCCATATGTCCAATAATACCGAACTTGACAGAGGGACAGGGGGGAGGGAAGGGTAGTGGAAAGGAGAGAGATCCTTTAGAGAGAGAGAGAGAGGGGAGAGAGAACAAAAAAATTTAAAAATTTAAAAAAAAGAAGAAGAAAGAAAGACAACAAGACCATATGACCAGCTGTTATGTCTGCAAAAAGGACTCTGTTCCTTGTGGGCAATCCGAGTGGAGAACCTGTAGGAGCACCTGCAAAAGGGCACAGGGAAGACAAAAGAACAAACAAGCAACACTGGCAGCCGGACACTGTTCCTTGTGGGCAATCCGAGCGGAACACCTGTAGGAGCTCCTGCAAAAGGGCACAGGGTAGAGAAAAAAAACAAACAAGCAACGAAAGCAACAACACTGGTAGCAGGACATTAATGAACTTCTCAGAATTGTGCAGAGGAGATGGTTAACAAAGGTGCCAATAAGCCAAGTTTAACATGCCGACTGAGCCGTTCCAGTCCTGCAGGGTGGCTGAGTACTCAGTCCTCCTGCCTCTACTGTGAATCTGAAACCTCTGGTGACCCTGGCGTTACAGCGGCGCGTACCTGGCGGAGGGCAGGAGGTTGAGCACGCTGTTGAGGGTGTGCTGGAGGTCGGCGTGGCCCTGCTCCACCAGCAGCACCACGGCGTCGCAGCAGGACGAGCGCAGCAGGGCGCAGTCCCCGCAGCACTGCTGCCACAGGGCCTCCAGCGCAGGGCCCTGAACGCACCACCAGCACAGCACAGCAAACACACTCACAGGTCTGAGCCGGCTCAGAATCACCAGCTCCTTAAGACAGTGTTTTTCAACCTTTTTTGAGCCAAGGTACATTTTTTCATTGAAAAAAACCACGAGGCACACCAGCAACCAAAAATGTCAAACAAATCTGTATCTGCCTATAGTAACACTATAGTTATTCTTATCTTATCTTAAGTGTCTTGAATAGGAATCAAATAAACACAAAAATGCATTTTATATCATATTTTATATTTCGTCTTTCAAATTGCTCTTAACATGTCCACTTCAATATACAAAATGATATACAAAATCTAGTCATAAGGAATTATTACATGATTACTCCACCAGTCACTAGAACAGCACACACACTCAAAAATGGCACATTATCTGCAGATAATTAATTCCTTATCGAAAAATCTTTTTAGACCAATGAGGTGAAATAGGATGATTTTCTACGGCACACCTGACCATCACTCACGGCACACTAGTGTACCGAGGACCAGGGGTTGAAAAACACTGCTTTGAGAAACTACATTGTTGCTGAACTCACCTGGCTGTGGGATTGGGCGATTTGCCCATTTGGTCCCTTTTCCTTCAGCACGGCAGCTACAAGATGTCTCACCGCCTTGAAAAAGAGAGAGAGAGGGCACACAAACACGGCCATCAACAGACACAGGAGATAGGTTATGGTCAGGTGAGATTAAAGATGCAGTGGGGCTTGTTTTATGTACTGTAAACCTCTGAAATCTGCACTTTTTGAAATACAACCATGAGTCAAGAGAGGTAACAAAAAGCCGTTAGTCACCTGGGCTTGGATGACGGGGCAGGGGAAATCAAACCGAGTCTTCAAATTCTCCGTCATGGCCGCGGCTCATGCCTGAGAGCGCTCCCAATCCCTGTTATAAAGAGGTCATAACACCAAAGGGTTCAATGTTTGACATGCAGGGAAAGCTTTTGGAGCCTGCTGACTGGCTGAGGAGAATGACATCATAGCTGAGCTGGGCTGCAGCAACCCGTGGCTAAACGGCACTAATGGACAGAACATTCCGGGTGTAGTGGCTAAATGTCCTTTCTTGGCTGGTGACCATTTCTTCTCTTTGACGAATGCAAATAACCACTCTTTCAGACGGAAAGAACGGGTCTACGCGTGTTAAGGTTTTAACGACGGTAGAAAACGGTGTGTTCACCCCGTCTTTACTGAACATTCTAAACAGACAAAAAACATACGTTTACATTCAACAAAAGCGCAAGCTCCGAACGTTATCGCTCAGCGTCAGTTTCTATTGGCTACTTAGTCAAGATCATTTTAAACATTAAAATAAATGCAGACTAAACTAAAATCAATTATAAATTAGCAAAGCAATAACTTAGTAAACTACAATCATAAATATTCTATGAAAACATAGAACCAAAATCATCCAAAATAATAACTAAACATGAGCATAAATTACTCCATAGAAAATGGCACCAACACCGGGTATGGCACTGTTTGGAGACATTTAGGGAAAACTGACTCCGACGGGCGTTATCAAATCAGTGGCCTACCAGCATGGCATTATTTTTCATCAATTATTTACGAGTAAACAGGGCAGCTTCCCACTCCCATTAGCAGGTCCTGTCTTGGACTATATTCCATACGCTGGTGTCCACAGGCTGGCTGGAGCCTCAGCATGGAAAAGTGTGATCCGTTGGCATACTTAGGGAGAGAGCGAAACACAAACAGGAAGTGTCGTCTTTGCTTTGGCGTTTGTTTGGCTGCAGACAGGTGAACTCCAGACCTTTGCCTCCTCAGCTCATCTAACTGGTGTAAATCAGTCAAAACTGCAACTTATCCATTTAAAATGTTGGGGTATAAAGTTTTCGCCACTCTGCGATGCCGAAGCAAAGAAATGAAGCGTCGGAATAGTGTTTTTATTTTTGGCAGTGTTCCCCTGAACAGAGCGGGTTCATCCATTCAATATTCCTCAGGAGGCAGGCCAGTCCAGGACCTGTCTTTAAGTCTGTGTTATGTGTTTGACATATCGTTCTGAAAAAGGGCATGGACGTCCTCTTTCATGCTCCCACTCATCCGGCTCTCTAGAAACACGGCTTTGACATTTGCCATTTGACAATGCTTTGGCACAAGGAAGATAAGCCGTGCATGGGATAACCCCTGCCACCCCCTCCCCAAACACAGGCGCCCAACCCAACCCCCCCTTTCTGTTATCTAACTGATAAGTCCGCCTGCTGCCCTGTGCTGTGCACCTCCCCGCTCCAGCGCTGGCCTCACTGGTTCCACCGCCACTCAGCTTCATGGCCACGTAGAGAGGTAAGTCCCCAGCACCTGCTAATGCACATATTTGCTCTAGACGGACTCTAGACAGCACCAGGACTCACCAACTGTGGGTTTGAGGCAACGTGGCCTTATACTATTTCACCATATTGAATATTAGGAATCTACTCATAGAAGAAAGCATCTAAAATCTAAAGGTTTGGTTAGTTTGGTTTAGAAGTATCGGTTTTTACTTAAATCAAAATGCCATCAGAGGTCTTCTAAATATTTAATTTAGTAAGTTTATGCATCCAACAGTTCCAGCAGCTTCTACAGCATATTTACCTCACGGCCAAACAATATAGGCTGGCTTGTACTGCAAGCTCTGCATTAGCGATACAAGCCAGGACAAAGCAGCAACAGTGTTGAGCCAACAGGCGCTTTAGAAATAACCCCAGCGAGGCTTTAGGGTGGGACGCCCGCCGCTGACAAACTGCACACAGTACACTCTGGGCTTTCCATGCTTTTCACACACTCACACACACACACATTTATGTCTGAGCTATTACTCTGTGAAAATAATAAACATGTATAGATGACCTAATCCTGCTCCATAATTTAGTATAACCAAGAAGTTTGTGGCTAGGTTTGTGTGTGGTTCTCTGTTTCCATCTCCAGTACCTTCTCATAAACATATATATAAATATACACACACACACACACACATTTATCTATCCATCTGAAGACTGAAGGGTGGCTGGAACCCTATTGCTGGGAGGCCACGGTGCAGTGCGCATGCGTGTACGTGAATCCAGTCATTGTAATACTAAATAACTTCATATAAAGTTGACTGATTTGTTTCGGGAACTAATCGTGTTTCTTACGCCGACTTCGTTTACAGAGCCCGGAAAGAGATTCAACTAAAAACCCTTTGTGAAAATAAGGCGACACTATCCAAACTTTATGATTTATTTGTCATTAAAAACAATAACGGGCTGTTAAATGAGCCGTAGTCAGGTTAGCCTGAAGCTGACCCGGCTAAGAGTCTATAACCGAGTTATCACCATGTGCTACTGGCAGCTTTAACCAAGTGAGATTTACTCATAATTTATGTTTACTCCAGCCTTCGTCTAACTTGGTTTGACTGGGTGACATATAAATATATCACTCTCAACAACAGACATTGTAGATATTGCTAGCAAACTTTACCTCGGTCTTTCGGTCTCCGGCAGAAGCGTAGCGGCACATGAAGTACGGTAAGTATTGAGGGCCAAAATTGTAAGACATAAACATACCACATTCTCTCAGTGTCTCAATGATGACGAGACTGAAGTTGAAATAAACTCTAAATATTGTACCATGATATACATACACTGCAATATGGAGAATAATAATGTTAATAGTGCTTAACTGTGATGAATTGTTATTATTATTATTTATGTTTTCGCTGTCGTTTATTCATTTGACTTAATCAGTCTCAGTTTGTCATGTCAAGTGTGCATTTGACAATATTTGGGGAAAAAATAATTAACTGAAATAATTTTTTTTTTTTTATTGCTCCAAGTCCAAGTCCATTTGGTGTTATCTATCTAAAATACCCATTAATCTGGTTTTACATTTTGATTGTAAACTTACTTGTGCTAATTTTATGGACAAAGTAATTGCTCAGCTACCGAATTAAAAAATTAAACGTCTCATAGAGTCACGTTAAATTGTCAAAATAATTGTTGGTTTTCCCTGGGGACATGAAGGCAACGTAATTACAGAAAGGTTGCGGCCACCTGATAGGAGACTAGTGTATCTGCTCTTCCCTTATTGGCTGATTGCATCTCGTGCTCTCTCTGCGGCCCCAGCGGGTACACCACGCTGCGCGTGCGCTTTATCCCTCAGACGCGTCAAGGATGTCGAATCAAGCTGGGAGGGGAACGGAAACAAGAGGATTTTACTCTCAAAATAAAAGCCTTGGCGTTTACATTAAATTGCCCGAACGTCTTTAGTAACCCGCTCCCCCCAGTTTTCTACTGATAACCACGGTGTCACTCATTTCTTACAAAAGTAAAAAGTTGTGTTTGTTGCATATTTTGTTTAGTTTTTTTATCCTTTATGTTCTTCAGAAAGCTTTGTTCAATTGTTGATTGGAATCAAATGCATAGGATTGCATACAAAGTGGCAAAATGTAGGTTTCAGCAACAATAGCAACACTGCGTTAGGCATTGCGAGTGCCTCAAAGTGCCAAAAATGCACTCAATACTTGGCGTGAGAACTGTTTATTCACAAAAAGAACGTTAGTTAATGTGTGAATGACTTTTTTTAATCTTTTATTTTTGTTCTTTTAAGTCGGGTGTATCAAAGTCATGAGTCGTTCATATCTGTAAGAGAGATCAAGGATTGATACCAACATTTGCATCTCATGTCGATAATGACTGCAAAATAGATACAGTAATGTGGTGCAAAAGTAAGCGGACACCTGGAAATAATTAGGCGTGGATCGTGCGAGCTTTTATTTGTGAAGCACACGCCGGAAGTGAAGCAGTTTATTGTGGGGAATTGACCGCCGGCGAGTCTTTGAAAGTCTTCAGTGTGACTTCAGTCCAGGAGAGACTATGTCCGCCGTCGTAGGCAAACTGTACTCACGTCTAATCTCATTTCAAATTAATTCTCCATGAAGTTACAGTAACGTGGGGCCTCCAGGATGGCCAACTCGGTGAGTACCCCGCCAGAGACTTTGCTTAGTCCGTCCGTTTTAGCGAATTTTGGCCCCTTTAATTCGGCCGTTTGGTCACATCGAAGGGCTCGGTGCTTTTGCTCCGTTACGAGGATTTTTAAGCAGCACGGTTAGCTTCAGTCCGTAAGTGCCTCTTGTCAGCCTAAGGCGAGGTTCCGCGAAAAACCCTCGGACTTTAGATATTCAGCCGACAACGACAACACCCCTCTGTATTCACAGAATACTGTGCGGTTATTTTAGATGGTTATAGTCCATCATTGAATTCGGCCGCACGGTCCACCTAATTTGTGACATGACTAAGCGCCAACATTTGGGACATGTCAACTTTCCCTCTCGTGCTATCCGTCTCGTGTAACAGCGGTTTTTCGTTGTCATATAAAGTAAAACATTGTAACTCACTGATAGAATATAAGTTAAAACGTGCACGGATAGCGCCTGTGTTCAGGTTGCACTTTAAGGCTTTAAACAATATTTAGAAATGCTTGAGTATCGCTTGAATGTGGATTGTTGCATTTAAAATTCCGCCGTTTGAACCAATTTCAGCACTAGATTGTGCGCGAGGAAACAAAGCGCGAGTTCAAGTTAAAGTAGCGCCCCGTAGCCGGGAACGAATCCCGCTGTGTAGCTTACAGAAACACGGTCCATTTTTGTGTTTGCTGTTGTTAATTCGGTTGTTTGCGGCAGTTTGTGAGAACCGGCTGTGTGCTGTGGTCCCTCAGGGCGCTGTTCAGGTGAAACTGGAACTCGGACATCGCGCCCAGGTCAGGAAGAAACCCACCGCGGAAGGCTTCACGCACGACTGGATGGTTTTCGTCCGAGGGCCAGAGCACAGCAACATCCAGCACTTTGTGGAGAAAGTGGTTTTTCATCTGCACGAAAGCTTCCCGAAACCAAAAAGAGGTAAATCCCTTTCCCATTTTCTCTCTCTTCGGGTAAAGGCTGGAGGAGGGAGGGGGGACCGGCCCTCGGACATGCTGCTCCTGTGTCCATTTGAGGGCTTTAAGGATGGTGGACATCCGTCTCATCTGTGGATTTAAGTAGAATTTTAACTGGAAGTAGTTGGAGCAGTTTGTGTGTCACTGCTGGAGCGCTTCTCCGCTGTGTTGCTTTGTTTGTTAGCTTTAAATACCATTACCCACCTGAGTGGGTTTGCCAAACAGAAGTGGCCGTGTGTGTTGTTGCGTTTGGAGGTGGATCATAAAGACCTGCACGAGATGGTGATCCAGGAGTCCAGAGTTCAGGCAGATATGTCGGGACCTGTGTTTGGTCAGGAGCTTTTAATGGGAGGCGGTAGAACACGTTTGAAATATGGGAAATGTGGAAACCCAGCGTCTTAGAGCTGAATTCTCTGAAAACTGTCCTGAATTGTCATTTGCCGTCTGCTATATAAGCAAAACATTTCAAAACGTGCCTGTATGTAGAAAAGCAGCGGAGCCCATCCCAAAGAAAACCTTTTTTTTTTTTCTAAAGAAGTGGAGCTTTGATCATTCACAGCTGCTGACCTTTCAAACAACTAAAAAAGAGAGATAATGTTTGTAACCTGAGACCAACTCCCACTTTTCTTTTATTGATAGTAACTTAACACTTCTAAACCGTACACATGCTTGTAAAAGTCACATTTGGTGGCAAAGAGATACTGAATTACTGGATCTAGCTGCACTCGCATGATTCATACACATGAGCATGGAGTGCTTTGGTCTGTGCTGAGAACGCAGCATAGCTGCTCTTGGTTCTTAGGACTTTACATATCCGGACATAAGAAAAAGCACAGTCATTCTAACCTCAGGTGAATAATCTGACGTATTACAGCAAGTCATTTATTTCTGAATCAAAGAGCCAAATACAAAATTCAGAGTTTGGGCTTCAACAGGACCAGGCTGTAGCTGTGGAGCCATACTGTATTTCACAATGTGTCACCATGCCAACCAGTTGTCTACATGTCAAACCAGCTAGATCCAGATGAGTTGAAGGAGGACGTCCCTAAAGCAAAGGAGGAGAGAAACACAGACAGCGGTTAGGTGGTATCTTTGTGAATGTGAGATCAAATAAAAGGGAAAAGGCTGGCATCGTATGAGGGGGGACAGAGACTACAGAGGGAGTGGTACTGATAAAGACGGCTGAGTGGCGTGCTGGCTCACAGCAGATGGTGTTGTCATGGGCCTTTTACTGCGTAGGGAGGCGTCTGCCGCCCGGGCGTTCAGCTGTTCTGTCTGCCCAGGCCCCACGCCATCATCTCAGCACTCCCTCTCCATCCACCGGGCCTTTCCTCAACACTCCTCAGAGTTCCTGTAGTTTGGCGAGTTTGAAAACATCGTCCTTTATTTGGATTCACCTCATTTTAATTTTCTTCTTCAAAAATGTACACAGCAGGAATAATTTTCCCTCTGGGGAAAAAGCAAGCCTCTGTCTTACCCGCTGCTTTCCCATTTCGGGGTTAGTTTTCGATAGGTTGAGTTTGTTGAGAATGTCGTTATTATTTTCAAATGTCGTTTTAGGCCTTAGCGTTGAAGGAAGGTGTACTTATCTGGCTCGCAGGAGCAGGTGAGGCTCAGGCTGAGCTGTCAGACGGTGAGATGTGGCAGGAAGCCGTTGGCACAGCAGCATGGAGGGACGGGGCTCGTTTTCTGTCTTCTGAGCAGTTACTGCCTTTGATCTGCCTGGTGAATAAAATAAAGGCTAGCCAGTCAAACTTTGCCTATCATGCTGTACCTCTGCTGTCTGCGGGGAGCTGTGAGTCAGCAGCCTGTTCTATTCAAATGAGGCCCTAACGGCCCTAAGGTGCAAGAACACCAAAAGGAGTTCAAAAGAACAATGAATACAACAGTTCGCCCAAAGCCACGGTGCTTATTCCTGGACCTGTATCCAAAGCATACGTGGAAGCTGAATGTTGTCCCTTACAGAGGAAGCCCCCGTCTGGTCCCTCCCAGAGTAAGTCATCCTGTGGGACGGTCACACGCGCTTTGTGCCTCCATCACAAAATTCTGTAGAACGGACCCAGAAGAGGGCTCAGCGCTGGAGGAGCCCTGAGAGGGCCACTACAGGCTGCTGATGGAAGGCCGCTGCTTTCTGCTCTGTCTTTTTGCTACTTTACTGCTAATGGAACTCACACTAACTTTTACAGTCGTCACTCACCTGCTGACGACTCACCGTCGGCTCTGAAATGAGATAGGAAACAGTTAAACGCACCATGAGCGCAAAGTAAACGTGTCAGAGGCAATAGAGAGCTCACCTTTAGCTTTAAGTGTGCTGTCTTTGAAGCGCTCAGATAATATTGTATCTTTTATGGACAACTGGGACATTTGTGACGCATTAAACTCTTTGGGCTTGGTTGCGCAGCGTACGGTGACTGGGGGGCTGGACATTAGTCTCCAGGAGGGGAGCATGTGCAGAGGCAAAGGGCCCATCTCAGGCTAAATCGGCCAGAACATCATTTCTCTTCTCCGTCTTTCACCTGGACCGTTCAAAGCACATATCCCCGTATTCTGAGAGCAGGCAGAAAAATCTCCACCTGGATCTTCTCTTTG